AAAAAATTAAAAAAAAAGACAAAACGATTAGATTGACCAGCTAGCAGCTTTTACTCGCGCAAGTCTCATTTAGTTTATTTATTTATTCCCCACACACACACATAAAATTAAAATAAAATTAAAAAAGGGGATATTGCAAAAAGACAATAATGAGGTGGAAAATGGGATATAAGAATGCTCTTTCTAATCTTTAAAATTTTTTTGAATAAATTTTAAGAGCAGCTCCCATATGAATTTTATTTGTATGTATTGTTTATATCTCGTTTGCTTTATTAAAAATTTTTTTTTAATATTTTTACTTACGTCTCAAAATGTGAATTACATATATTTTAGAAATTCGGTTTCTGATTTTCAAAAAAATTTTTGTTTCGAAACATCTCTGATATTTATGGACCAGGGAACGAGCCGTCCCGATTCCCGAAAATCGTGAATTTTGTAAGATGTCTCTTGGACACCTTAAAAATATGAAGGGGTTCTCCAAAAATTTCAATTATCATTACCGATATTCTCTTAATACTTGAGCATGATTCTCGATCTACATAGTATAATCTCTCTCTCCGTCTTGCTAGGTCTCCCATTCTTACCATTATTAGCTTAATTATCCCTCTATTTATTTTTAAAAAATAGTTAAGCTCAATCATCTCCATAAAAAATAAAGAATATTTTTAACTTTCCACAAATTAATATTTTAATTATACTTTTCTCAAAAAAATTCATTTTAAACTGATTCAAATTTAAACACAATAAAATGCCCTTTCCATGTTTGCCCCAATTTCCCCAAAAAATTTTCTTTGTTTTCTGCGAATAATTTTTAGTATTTTTTAAAGAATATGCATGCCTTGCTGATTTATCATTTGAATAAATCAGCAATTTATTTTTTTAATTTTTTATTTAAATTTTTTTCGCTATAATGAATATAACCTTTTATTATCCTCTTTGTTTAATTAAGCACTTGCAATTAATTTTTTATTTTTTCCCTTATTTTTCATTATTTTTAATATTATTAATTATAATTTTCAGATATTTTTCTCGTTTTTAGCTTTGGTTAAAATAATTTTTAGCTTAATATTATTACCAAAAAAACTGTCAAACACTGACTTTTTGTTTTTGGACTGTCAGAATTAGGAATCTAGCCATCATACAAATACCTAGATTCGAAATTTATCCGGGATCTAGCGGCATAATAATAATAGATTTTGAATTTTGGAGCTCGGGAATCTATTTCATTTTGTGCTAAACCTTGTTTTTACCTTCTTAAATTTTTTTGATTAATCTTTTTGCTCATCTTTCTCTCATTTATGATTCTCCCTCAACAATATTTATTTTAAAAAACTAGCCTAATCATAGTACAAAAAAATTATTTTTTTATTAATCATTGACTATCATATAAATTCTTTGGTTATTCTCCGTTTTTTTAAATTTTTTCTCTCAATTTTCATGCATTAAAATGAAAACAGGACTGAAATGTCATACGAGTATCAAGCTCGATATCTTAAAAATCTCGATTATTGATACCCGTGATTTTAGATCGAGATCCGTGGTATAATTCTGGTACGATCTTTTATACCTCTTTCCCCTCAAATCACCTACATAAGCTTTAAACTTCAAAAACTCCTTGAATTCCGATTTAAAATTTTAAAATTTTACTTATATAAAAATTAAAATCTATTAAACTTCGCGCGAAATAATTTTCTTTTATTTTTATTTCGCTCATTGTTGTTTTATTTAAATAGAATTGGGGTCATCCTTTTGCTTTTTCTGCCCAAATTCTTCTCATTAAATTATTTTTGTGTGTGTACTTCTTCTCATCATTAACCAGCCACATCATCATCTTTAGCCTTCACGTCACAAAATCTCGGTTTAATTACCTCGCATTGATTATAAAATGTCAATCAGACAAATTTAAATTTGACAAAATGCCCAAATATTTACACGAATAAATGAGCCTTTATTGCCTGCCTTTTTTCCTCAGATTAATGTTTGCCTTAATAAACTACTCCCAACATAATCCCAAAAATACACTCCCTTCCCCTCCTCGAAAATAGAGTATAACACCCAAAAATACTTCTGTTATAGCCACATACCAACGGATCGGGCAATAAAATCCGCCCGAAATAATTTTGTATTAAGGAATTATGGCCTTTAGTTTGGGCTAAATTGATACCGAGAAAAGTAACAGGCAATTAGACTAGAAATCATGCTCTCCCTTTCCCACAATCGGGAATTTCCGTTGTTTTTTGTATTATTTTGATGTCAGCACTAGGTTGTTCCCCGTTCCCGTCCCTCCCCTGTGGCGCTTCCTCGTCCCGTCGGGGAACGCAATATCTCAAAATGAGATTTAATAGTTCTCCATTCGATTCAGTTCCCCTCAATTCTGTTTTCCGATATAACTGTCCTATTCGCTCCGATTCCGTCATCTATATTTAACACATCAGGCTATGCAAGCTTGATTTTTTTAACAACTTCTTCCCCAAAATTTTTCTCGATTTTCTCCCTCTAACTGGACATTTTACTAACTGAACCTTTTGATCAAAAATAAGGATAAACAACCCACACCTTATTATAATTCTGCTTTCCGTTCATTTCTCATAAAATATATTCAATAAATATATCCTTTCACCACCAATCCCCCCGAATTTTTAAACCCATCATTACTCTAATAATTCAAAAGAGGGTCAGTAAAAGTTGAAAAATTTATTTTTAATGCGCGGAAAAGTTTATTATTTTCCTTCTTTGTTTTAATTAAATTCTGAATTTTTAAAAAATTATATAACTTTAATAATTCAAAAGACTGTCATTAATTTTTTAGTTAAGATTTAGAGGCTTCTGTACGGCTATGAGGCCCCTAATTCATTTCAGAAAGCAATTTTTAGTTTAAATTTCAGAAAAAAATTTATTAATATTTATAATCCTAACATAATCCTTTATGCCCTCAAAATATTTTTTATTAAATAAAATAATCCTTTTAGAAAAAAATATTTTTATAAGAAAATTTGCGGACATTGGAGCAACATGACCGGAAACAAACATATGTAGTTTAACTCCTATGGGTACACCCCAACCTACCGCGAGGCCAACCTACCGCTGAGCTATACTTTCGTTCAGAATTGTCGAATCCGGGACACTCTGATATGGTTCGATGCGCCTCGACGAGCTGAATCGAACCATACCAGGGCGTCCCGGATTCGACTATTCTGAACGAGTTGGGCTCGCGGTATTTTGGCCTGCTCCCAACTCCTATATTCTGAATTAATTCTGATTTTAATATTTAATTTTTATAAAATACTGATACTTCAGAATTTTCATTTTTCTGATTTTATAAATTTTTTAAAATTTATTTTTTAAAGTACAATGAAAATTCACACGGGTCATAAAAGGCCTAGAAATAAAAAAATAAAATTATACATTTCATATTTAAATTTATTAATTAGTATTTTTGTAATAACTACATTATTTGTAAATATAGATGGAACAGAATCAGATGAAGTATGTTTGCTTATTTAATTCTGATTTATTTTTAATTAATTCTGATTTGATAATTCTGATTTTTGTATTTTGTTTTTTTCTGATCTTCTGAATTTAATTTTTTTTTGATTATAATTTAATTCTGAATATTAATTCTGTTTTTATAATTATTCTGATTATAATAAGAATTCTGATTTGATAATTCTGATTTTTGTATTTTGTTTTTTTCTGATCTTCTGAATTTAATTTTTTTTGATTATAATTTAATTCTGAATATTAATTCTGTTTTTATAGTTATTCTGATTTTAATAAGAATTCTGATTTGATAATTCTGATTTTTGTATTTTGTTTTTTCTGATTTTCTGAATTTTTATTTATTTATTCTGATTATACTTTAATTCTGAATATTAATTCTGTTTTTATAATTATTCTGATTTTAATAAAAATTCTGATTTAGACTAATTCTGATTTTTGTATTTTGTTTTTTTCTGATCTTCTGAATTTAATTTTTTTCTGATTATAATTTAATTCTGAATATTAATTCTGTTTTTATAGTTATTCTGATTTTAATAAGAATTCTGATTTAAATTATTCTGATTTTATTTTTAATGCTTATTCTGATTTATTTTATTTCTATTTCTGAAAATAATAAGTTTTAAATTCTGAAGGAATAAATTCTGAAATAATAAGTTCTAAAAATAATTCTGAAATATTAACTCCTGAGATTAATAAATTATGTAAAATTAATTCTGATATAATAATAATTCTGATTTGATAATTCTGCTTTTATTAAACCTCTATATTTCTGTTTATTTATTCACCGATAAATTGTTGAGCTAGTTAAGTGGTTTATATTTGTGTTTTGTTTGTTTATTCGTTGTAAAATTGTTTGGACGATGATTTTAAAATTTAGCACTTACTTGGATTGAAAGATAATGATGCTAGTTATTCTGTATGAGTCCTTAAACTTTTTTTTATTAATTTTTAAATTAAAAATAATTTTTAGTCAAGCACTTCTGTAGATGATGAAGAACCTGTCTTTTCTCAGTCAGCACAGCATTTATTTAAAAACGAAAATTCTAATGAGGATGGTGAAAAGCATCCAAATCTGGAGGCTTCTAGCCCTCCCAAAAATCATAGACAGCACCGGAAAAACGTAAAAAAAATTTTAGATTTATTAATTTATTTTTAATCCATCTTTCGTTAAAAAATTCAAAATTTAGCCACCTCCTTTTGTATTAGCCGATGTACAACTCTCTTGCGCAGAAGGATGGGAACGCTTTGAGGGAAAGTGCTATAAACTCATTTCTATAGAAAAGTCATGGCCTCAAGCTCTAGCCTTCTGTTCCCGCTTTGGAGCTAAATTGGTCCGTCTTGAATCTTCTGAAGAAAATAAATTTTTGGCAAAATATTTAATGAGGCCACATTTAACATCCGGGTAGCTATTTTTACTCAAATTTACCGCAAAATATTTTTCAAGCTCAACAACTTCCTCTTCTGAATATTGGATCGGTCTTTTATATAGACCTTTAATAATGGATTCATCAATTTCATCTTCTTCACCCCACTCAAAATCTTTAATGGATGGCTCTTTTCTGTGGAGCGATGGTTCGCAGACTTCTCGCTATGTTGGATTTTGGTCCTATGGACAGCCTGATCCTGCAAATGGAAGTTGCACAAAAGTAAGAGTAGAATTGAGTTGGAAATGGGGTTATAAATGAATACTGTTGATACATAAGCTTATAATGTGCGACTGAATATTAAGTCACTACATGCTATTCATGACATTCGAGTTGTTATAATCTATGAATCATTAAAAGAGGGTGAGCTAAAATACCCCTATTGTATTTCCATTAGAAAACCTTCATCAGTTAGAAGATCCCTCACATTACCCTCTGAGATATACGTGTTATACCCTAAGATTTTCCTCTTCTGTTGTAATAACCCTCGTGTTATCTCTTTGAGATATCCCTCATGTTTTCGAATCTCCCTCGTGCTAACCATATCCCTTGTTTCAAAGTTCATCCAATCCCCGATTTTTAGATACTTGTAGATGGCCTTCAAGTAGAAGGACCAACATGGCAATTAGATGTCTGTAATCAACTTAGGCCATTTATCTGCGAACAGAATGCTTGTATTAAAGGTAGTTTACAGAAAATGAAGTGAAAATGTAGAATAATTTGAGGATCATTTTTCTGCCAAAACGGTGTATGCCTCCCTGAACGCGCCCATTGCAATGGGATTGATGAATGTGGTGATTCTAGTGATGAGTTTAACTGTCCATGTAAACTAGGAACCTTTTACATTCGCCAAAATTATTTTTTAGCAGCTCATAGTGAAATGTCTTGTCAACGATACGAGAAAGGGGAATCTGGACGTATTGAAACACCCAACTTTCCTGCAAGTTATAGACAAGGTTCCAACTGCCGTTGGGTTATTGAAGGACCGCTTAATTCTAAAATTCAGGTGATTCCGCGAAGTATACTAGATTCCTCGTTTAATAACATCATTTTCAGCTAAATTTTGACTCATTCGAGACTGAAGAACGTCATGATTTAGTTACTGTATTAGATGGAGGCCCTTCAGAAAATTCTACTTTTGCTTTATCCACAATTTCGGGTACCCCTCGAAATACAGAGAAGCTTTCCTTTGAGTCAAGCACAAATAGAATGATAGTCCAATTCAGAGCGGATCAAAGCATTCAAGCTCGAGGCTTTCAAGCAAGCTGGAGAACTGGTAAATTATCTCGATTATACATGCGTTACCCAACACCTTCTCCCTCCAGTTCCAATATCTTGTGGAAATCAGCAACTGAAAGCCTCTTCAATCGGCCAGCAATTTCACAGCCCAGAATGGCCTAGAAATTATCCTAAAGGCTTAGAATGTGTTTGGCGTATAGAAGCACCTTCTGGCCAATTAATTTCTTTATTTATTGATGAATTCAATACCGAAGCTGAGACTGATTTTTTAACAATTTATGATGGACCGAGTCCGTCCGAGCCTATATTGGCTAAATTCAGTGGGCAAATGGTAGTGTATTTTAAAAAGATTTTGATTTATTATCAAGAAAAATTATTTTTAAGAAGGAACCTCAACTAATAATTTCAACTCAATCTCAAGTTCATATCTACTTCTTCAGTAGCGAGTCTGTTTCTCAAAAAGGCTTTACTATTACATACAAAAAAGGTAGAATATCTTGGTTTTCAACTGGTTCTTGTTGATTAGCAATTACTATAAACTATCCTCTTTTGTGAGGACTATCCTCTTTTAACTAATCCTCTTTCAAGCTAGTTGGAGAACTGGTAACTATCCTCTTTTGTGAGGACTACTTAGGAGGACTACTCTGAGGACTACACGTACTTCCTTTATGTGAGACTACTAATTCAGTCCTCTTTTGTGCGGACTGGGCCTTGGAGACTTTGCTTTAAAGCTTGTACCAAAATTCTTACCTGATCTTGTTACCTAGTATAAATTCGAGGTATTAAACCAAAAATATGGGTTGTATGATGAGGAGTCGAGCCACCCCGAAATTATAAATTATCGGAAAGAACCTCCAATTCTGTACAATCCCCCCTTTCTCTCCCTAAAAATAAATAAATAAATTCTCAAGGCTGTGACAACTCTATCCGTCGCTCACACGGAGTTTTAACATCACCGGGAAATGCACATTTGCCCTATGCTCCTTCACAAATTTGTCGATGGAGTATAGAATTACCCTCTCAACAAATCGAAAACTTTGAAGCTGCAGCAGAAGTTCCATCATTATCTTTAGTTTTGAATTCTTGGGACGTAGCCGATTTAGGCGATAAGTTACAAATTTATGAAGGAGGTGAGGATGGAGGTAGTAATGGGAGACCGTTACATGAAAGTGATGGCTTTACTGTAAATAATGCTCCACCTAAGACGGTAGATTTATTTGCCTATTTTTTCTGAATTTGCATTTTTCTCACATAAGATACAAGCTTATAGCTAAAAAATTTGACGTGTACCTTAAATCTTGGTGTATCTCCCCCTTCCCCTATCAAATTTCAAAAAGGTTTTTTAAATTGGTGTGTATCTAGGGGTTTTATAATGAGGGGTACCTTACATTATTGGGCATCGCCTAGGCTTCCTACCTCCATTAGCTTACCAAATTCAAGAAAAACATCCTAGACTTATGTATCTCTAGTGTGTATCTTTAGTGAACTCCTTTAACCTTATCCTTAGATTTATGCAAAACAAGGACGTGTTGAACTCGTTTGGCGTTCTAATGTCTTAAACAGTGGAACCGGCTGGAATATTTCTTTTTCGACAAGTGAGTGGAAGATAAAGAGAATCTTCCACAAAATTTTTTTAAATTTAGGTTGCCCTCCTCTCTCATTACCCTCCCGTCGTGTTCTCCTCTCCACTAAAAACACAGCCTATGGTACCCACGTTACTATAAGTTGTGAAAGAGGCTTTGAATTTTCAACGGGGCTCGGCAGGCATTTCGAAACAGAATGTGAATTGGGAGGTCTGTGGAGCAATTATGCACCTGTTCCAGACTGCCAACGTAAAATCTCATTAAAATTTTTGAAGTAACTTTCAAAAAATCCTTTAGCCGTGTACTGCTCGGCAATTCCTCAAATAGCTAACGGCTTTGCTGTCTCAGCAACCAACGTCTCGTATGCTGGAATGGCTCGCTATCAGTGTTATGAAGGGTTTAGCTTTGCTTCTGGGAAGCAACATGAAGAAATATTTTGTACAGACGAAGGCCGTTGGACACAATCGCCCAAATGCAAAAGTCCTTGGAACAATTATTTCCCTTATTTCATATTTTACGTTTCAGCTGATGCCTGTCCCGCACTCCCATCTTTTGTCTCCGGTGAAAGAATTCTTCAATTTGGGGACGGCATAGGCTTCGGCAGCGTTTTCCAATTTCATTGTGCGAAGGGTTACTTTATTGAGGGTCCTTTAAGCATTGTTTGTCGTCCGAATGGAGAATGGTCCTCTCCACAGCCTCTTTGTAAAAGTAAGCCTTATTGAGGTTAAAATTATGGATAATATTAAAAATTAATAGAATTGACTTGTACTGATATCCCAATTGTCGAAAATGGTGAACTACATTTATTGCCTAGCAATAATATGGTTACGGATGAAAAATCCATCAAGGATAAAAAATTAAAGGATCAAACCAAGAGCTTTGGATCTAAACAAAAAATGGAATTTAAAACTAAAAGAAGTATGGTAATTCGAGAGTTGCAATTTGGAGACTCTCTACGAGTTGAGTGCCATTCTGGTTTTCAGTCTGTAGGAGCGGAAACACTTAAATGCTTGGCTAATCAAACACTTAGTGGAGTATGTTTTATTTTATGTAGAATAATGTAGATCTCTTAAAAACACTAACGGATTGTAACCCAAACTCGTTTAACAAATCCACACCCTGGTATTTTTATGTTACCTAAATTTGGCACCTGAATATTGTAGTCAAAAAAAGTTTCGAAATAAGAGACAAACTTGCCAAAATATCCCCTTTAATATATCAAATTTTATAAGATCCCAAAATGCCGTGATATCGATGAATGTGAGTTACAATCTGCAGGAAATTGTGCCACAAAATCAACAACTTGTGTGAATATGCCAGGCGGTTTTCATTGCCAATGTCAACCTGGATATAAACCAAAACTGGGTAGAATAAAAAATATTTCTTAAAGAGCTCAGGCAAGACGAGATCCTGTTCATTTTTCGGGGTATCCGATTTTTCGGGGTATCCAGCTCGCAATTGATTCTCAAGTCAACTTTAGTCTCTTAAAATGTTAACCTTATTTCTAAGATTGTTCTGGTCCTCTGACTATCATACCAACAAAAATACAAACATCTCATGGTGTGCCAATACCGGTTCAACAGCTCAATTCAAAAAATGGATGGTGTGCAGATACAACAATAACAAATGCTCAAATGCTTGAAAAACGGATAATGCCCTTTAATGAGTCCATTACTAGCAGCTCTCCATCAACAATCTTAACTTTGATATTTACTTTCCCCGTGCCAAAGGTACAAAATTTGAAAGAAAAATTTTTATCTTCCCCAAAAATCAGATAATCGAAAAGCTGCATCTTGAAAAAGTTGTTGTTCCCAACGCTTCTGCCCCTTCTGGAATTGCTGGGGCAATCGCAGCAACCCCTGAAGCTTGGCCTCAACGTTTTACACTTTCTTATTCAATTGAGGAAGGAATGCCGTTTGAAGTCTATAATGGAGGACTTGCTGAAATAGGAGGGAATAACAACATTACTTCAACTAATGAGAATAAAAAGTCTAATGAAAGAAAATTAAATACTCCGACTACTAGAGAGATAAGAACAAGAGCTTTAGGTATAATATAACTTAGGGTTTATGAATTAAGTGTGTGAACTTTATTTTCCGGAAACAATGAAAAAAAACAATCATAGAGCTGGGAAAGCTAGTTCCAGGCATGTACTAGTTCCGTACTTTAGTTCCAAACTAGTTCCAGATAATCGCTAGTTCCGTAGTTCTGGAACTGGAACTAGAACTACTAATTAGTTCCGGAACTGGAACTTTGACATCACTGAAGGTGAGTTCAAGAATGGTGCTTGTTAGATTGTTCCGAGCACGTTAAGATCCGATTCTCATTAATAGGGCTCGGATTTTTAAATTTTAAAAAGCTAAAAATATGTAGGTACCTAAATAGAGAGGTGGGTCGGGACAGTCGGAGGTGTCGGAAATAGGAAGAGCCAGAAATTGGAACTGGCTCAAAAGTCGGAACTCGGAAATCGGAAGAAAAAACGTCGGAACTCGGAAATCAGAATTCCGACCCATCTCTGTTTAATAGGATAAAAAAACGCTAAAATAGATTTCCAATATCGGTGAATATTCAGATGCATTGCTTAAATTTTTCCAGCTCTAATGATTGACTTGGATTTCTGAAGCGTGTCGACGCAGAAGACCCACAGACAGAAGACCCAAGGACAGAAGAACCACAGACAAAAGACCCACAGACAGAAGACCCACAAGGACAGAATACCCACAGACAAAAGACCCACAAATATTTTTTATCCCTTTTATTGTGCATAAATGTTGGCGCGAGGGATGTTGCTAGTTCTATCTGTTTTCCACAATAAGAAATTGAACCAACAACTGGAAAGTTGTTTCAATATTAGGGAAGGTTGTTCCAACAATTTGGGATGTTGTTCCAACAACGGGGATGTTATTTTAACAATGGGGAATGTTCTTGCAACAACGGGTTAAGTTGTTCCAATGATGGGAATTTTCTGGATTTTGATCAGGAAAATCCGGTGGTTTAGTCAAAAAATACTAGATCCGGTCAGGGTCCGATATAAAAATAGTATAAAAAATTTCTCATTGGCCTTTCTAATTTTCAAAATTCCCGACGATGACAGCGAAAAGTAGATCAGAGGTATATTTAGGATCAAGGAATATTTAGGATTAACTGGATTTTAGTGAGTGTCAGTTAAGCCCATATGGAAGCATATAGGATTAGAAGTGATCAAGGGTATTTGAGATAAGCAAGGATATTGGGGATCTCTGGGATTAGCAGAGATTAGTCATTATTTCTCAGTAAATGGAGGTGTATCGGAGGATAAAAGCGGATTGGTGGGATTATAAAACCTTAAAATGATTAAAGCCGTTACAACCTTAAAATCCCCTGATATATCCGATTTATTGGTTAAGAAAAATATCGTGGTGCCTAGAAAATTGATAAGTCTTTTTAAAAATTTTCTTCATATTCCTGTTATACCCATTTTATGTATAAGAAATGATTTCGTTGGATCTGAGGTTTTACACCTATATATCTAAACCCAACGGTATCCCCACATATCCCAATTAATCACCCGCCTCTTCAAATCCCTTTCCAATCTAATGAATAAATCTCACTGATCCCTAAAATTTAATTCTAAAATTTTATCTATTAACTTTAGATAAAAATTTTTTTATAATTTACAATTATTTTTGTTAATTTTGTGCCTAGAAAATTGCTAAGTCTTTTTAAAAATTTTAGAAAGTTATTTTAAACTGGTGGTTAAAAAATTTTTCTTGTGGGTCTTTTGTCTTTGGGTCTTCTGTCTTTGTGGGTCTTCTGTCTGTGGGTCTTTTGTCTGTGGGTCTTCTGTCCTTGGGTCTTCTGTCTGTGGGTCTTCTGTCACTACGCCTTCTGAAGGAAATTATTATGAACATAAGCTTATACGACAAATATGTTATAATTTAGGAGCAATAGGCTCGGAAATTCTTGTATTAGCCAAACCAATCGAGGCAAGAACATTGCAAATCGAATTCCTGGAATTTCATGGAGGTGTTCCCTGCATGAAATTTGAGTTTTTGGGTTGTCAACGGACTTCTTGTGAAGGTATTTTATATTTGAATTTTGTAAAAATATATTTGTAAAGATATTAATGAATGCGAGGATGGTCGTAATGGAGGTTGTGAACAACATTGTCACAATACACAAGGTGGACATCGTTGCAGGTAAAAAGAATGGTTTGAAGGGAAGGGAGACCCTTTTGTAGGGAAGGGAGGTCTTCGATAGAAGGGATTAGACCTCTTTGTAAGGGAGGGATGTTACAATACACACGGTGGACATCGTTGCAGGTAAACAGGAAGGGTTTAAAGGGAAGGGAGGCCTTTGGAAGAAGGAAAGGGAGGCCTTCGAAGGAAGGAATTAGACCTCTTTGTAAGGAGGGAGGGATTAGGAGGGATTAGACCTCTTTATCAGAACTACTTGGAAACCTTGATGTCCCGTTTCAAATTTTTGAGTGTTTCCCGGAACCAAGGCATCATTTCCTAAAATAATATTCTTATAGCTGTGAAGAAGGCTTTGATTTGTTCGTTGAACCAGGACAAAGTGGTGTTCGTTTGCGTGAAGGTGAAACAGGCTATGGAGAATTCGATTCATTGCGGTTTAACCATTCTTGTATTCCTCGACATTGTGCTCCTTTAACGACACCAGAAAATGGCCAACTAATAGCTCAAAATTTGTACAAAACCTTCAAAAATGAAGTGAATAATACTAACAACAAAAACGAGTTCTTTTCGTCCTCATTTGCTTTCCCTTCAATTGTGGAGTTTCGGTGTACTTTTGGTCATCAAATGCGTGGGCCTTCACATTTGAAATGTTTGGCAGATGGGACATGGAATGGAACAGTTCCATCCTGCATACGTAATTAATTTTATTGTGATTCTTTCCTTCTCTCATACAGTATTCTTCGCCTTTTATAACTCTTTGAATGGCAAATGGGGAGAGGGCAGGGAGCTAGTTTTGCCTCATAACGGGAGCTATTCTGGCTCTTACAACGGAGCTCAATGAGGCCCATATACCAGAAGCTTGGGCCCTTTGAAACATGTGCTGTGTGGGCTCTTATAATAAGAGACTTTGTGAGATGGGATAATTATCATCCCATGGCCCTGTAAATTTTACTTAAAAGATACTTAATTTTGCAGCCGCCACCTGTTCCGGCGTAAAGAATAGCACAGCTGTAGGTCTCTTTGTACAACCTGAAACAGTCTCCATTCCTTTTGGCCAGAATTTAAGTTTTGTCTGTTCCCAAACTAACAGACCGCCAAAACATTCTGCACTTGGAGAAATCCGTCAATGTATTTATGATCCTCGAACTGATGGACTGGAATATTGGCTAAGTGGCCCCGAAGTTGATTGCCCACTTGTTGATTGTGGACCCCCTCCTGCCCTATCTGGGGCTTATTATGAAGGAGATGAAGGGCATCATGGAGGAAACTTTAAAGTGGGAAGTGTTTATTTATTCCAGGTGAATATGTTATTTAAATAAGGTCTTATCTCAATATAAGATAGATCATTTGAACTTAAAAATTATGTCTTAAAATAAATACCGTATTTTATCTAATTGAGGGGATGTCTCTAATTTAAAGGCCGTCTTTGACAGATCGGCTCTTTGAGGTGGGATCGAAGATAGGCGTCGGGCGTCTGCTCAGTTAGAGAAAAAATTTAAGTATCTTCTGAGAAGTATCAGAGGATACTAAAACTGAGTAGTATCTTGGGAGTATCTGATAGTCAGATCCGACTCATTATTATAATTATTATTAGTGCCGTGCTCCATATTCTCTTGTTGGCAAATCTTCATATGATGACCGTATGGTTCGTTGTAATGTAGACGGAACATGGGATTTGGGTGATTTACGTTGTGAAGGTGTGCTTAATTTCTAGTAACTTTACACGTAAAATATATTTTCAGGCCCCGTTTGTGTTGATCCTGGCCATCCAGATGACGGGCAAACATTTTTGGATTCTGTTGAGGAAGGGGCTGTTGCAAGTTTCAGTTGTAACAGACCGGGATTTAAGCCATTCCCTGCAGAAACGATAAGTTGCAGTCTTGGGACGCCTTGTGTGTTGAGTGAGGATGTTGGAATATCTTCTGGTTTTATACCTGATGGAGCTTTTTCTGATAATTCTGGTCTTAGCTTTATGATTTTTTTCTAAAAAAATTTTTTTCAACTTAAGACAAGGTAATCTGGGGATATGAACCTCACAAATCACGCATGTCCTCTTCTGGTTGGTGTGGCTCTAAAGATGCATTTATCTTCCTTTCCGTTGATCTACAACGAATTTATACACTTACAACACTGAGGTTAACTGGTGTTGCTGGTAATGGGCATTTATCTGGTCATGTTACAAAAATGCAGCTTTTCTATAAAGTTCAATTCAGTCAAAACTATGATAATTACCCTATGGTAATATTAATTTAGAGAGCATACCAAAATAAAAAAAATTTTAAAGGAATTCTCTACGCCCTCTGGAAACCACAGAAAAATTTACCAATTTACCCTTAATCCACCTCTACGAGCCCGATACATTCTTTTGGGTATTACTGAATATGAGAAGAACCCTTGCCTTCGCTTTGATATGCATGGATGTTTAGCTCCTCTGTCTACCACACACGAAGTTCCAGCACATTTACAAGTGATCCTCCCTCTTTCTCTCCCTTATAACCTCCCCTCTCTCATTTCAGGTTGGCTGGAATGCAAGTATCCCTCAATGCTTAGATGCTGAACCTCCAACATTCAAAAATTGCCCTCAATCACCTATTATTGTACAAACTGATGAAAACGGGCAATTGTTCCCTGCCAATTATGTCATACCTGAAGCTACTGATAATTCTGGAAGAATTACTTACATGTGCTTATTTTGGAAATTAAAAAAAATTTTTTTATTATGATTTCAGGCTAACAAAGCCAGAAGACTTCCATCCACCCTATCCAGTCAGTCAAGACACTGATATAATCTATCAAGCTTTTGACGATGCGGGGAATATGGCTGAATGTGCTGTTAGACTTAGAATACCTGGTTGGACGGTGTTAAACTTTATTTTTGATAATCCGCATTTTAGACACAGTTCCTCCAATCTTGAAGTGTCCTGATTCTTATGCTATCTGGGCACAGGAAAATCAAACTGAACTACACATGCATTTCAATGAATCTTCAGTACGGCTAGTTGTGCAAGACCAATCGCCTATTACACAAATTTCCTATGATCCTCCCGAAGCTCGGATTAAGCTTGATTCACACGTTACTGTATGATACCGTATTTTTACTGAAGCTAAAAAATTTCAAAGGTTGAAGCCTCCGTTCTAGATGCCCATTCCAACCGAAATAAATGTAAATTCCAAGTAGCCCTGTTACCCGAACCTTGCAGTCCTTGGTCTTTACGAATTGATGAAGCTACCGTTCAAAAACAATGTCAACGCCATGCTAGTGGCACAGTTTGCCAAGTCCAATGTCGCAAAGGATATCGCTTTCTAGAATCCTTCCCTCAACAAAAGAGTGAAGTTAAAAAACAACAAAATAGTACTAATACACTTCCACAACGCTATAGTTGCTCGATGGAACAGCAATCGGGAAAATGGTTGCCTTCGTATGTGCTATTCATTAGGAACTTTTTTTCAATATTTTCTCAAAACCTTCCAGGCCAACTCCACCTGCATGTGTGCCAATGGCCATGGAACCTGCTCGTTACGAGATGAGAGTCCACATGAATTATAGCCTCACTTCCCCTTTACCGAGTGATTGTGCTAAGGTAAGAGAAAAGGCTTTAGATAATAGTGATGTCATTGTCTCTGAGCCACTTTCTCTTAGAGCCGATCTTAGAGTGCCTAGATTTCTGGGACTTTTCAAGAGAAAATTTTAGAGTTATGAACTGTTAGTTGGATCTTTGTTCGACAGCATTGACCAAGTATTGAGCCAGCGTTGTTCAAGTACTGTACAAATCTATGTTCGCTTCTTGGATGCCAAATTCTCGCAAATGGGCGAGAAGACTGTTAGTTTCTTTGAAAAATTTTTTATAAATCATCTGCTTCAGATGGGTGCAAATTTCACTGTACAAATTTTGCCTACTGTTTTGCAACAAGTATTTTATGAGCTTTGCTCGCTCACTCTACGCACAATATTTGACCTTCGAATACCTGGAGCTACAATACCTATTAGGTCTTTGCTGACACTTTCGGGTGATTCTGTTCCAGCTATCTTGGTAGTAACTTAAAAAGCTATCACGAAAACATTTTTAAAGAATCTTGGCTGCCCTCCTATAAATGCTTCAAGTATCTCAGTCTCTCAAGGCTTCAGTTGCTCACAAGGGGAACTACTCAAATTGCAAACACCAAATGTTGGATCAGACGATTTACTATCTGCAGCGCCTGGACTTCCAGAATGCTGTATGAGATATTATTTGAAAAGAATCTTTTATAACACTTACATCAGTGTTTCCCTATCATGGAACCGCCCATAAAATGAACATAAAAAATTGAAACCGGTCAGAAGCTTGGATCTAGTTGCACCCCGACCCCGTTCCGAAAGATTTTTCAGATTTTCCCCGACCCGAACCCCGCCCCGAAACAATTCGAAAACCTCGTACCCTGACACACCCGCCTCCGAGCGTTTGGGATGCAACCCTACTTGGAACCGTGAAACCTCTTGATTTTATAGCTGGGAGAACACTGATTTATTTAAATACTATCAATTTTATGTTTCAAAAATTCCCTTTCACCTAACAGTTCCCTGCCCAAAAGGAACAGCTTTTGTCAACAACAGTTGTATTCAATGCCCAATGGGCTCTTTCCAGGATCAAGAAGGGCAGATTCGTTGCAAACCTTGTATAGAGAATACTTATACTTTACAATCTGGAGCTCAATCTAATGAATCGTGTTTGGGTTAGTTTGGAAGTAGAGATCGGACTGAGTTGGATTATCGTTCAAAAGCTCATTTATTGTGTGATTTTTCGACTAGTCCGGTCTCTAATTGGAACGACCGAATTTTAAAATAAAACCTATCCTCTACCTTTCTAGACGTTTGCGGCAACGGAATGTTTTCAGCTACAGGAATGATTCCTTGTCAGCTATGCCCTAGACATACATTTGCTGGGCCTCCTCCAATTGGAGGCTATAAGGAATGCGAGCCGTGTCCGGAAGTGAATATTTTTTAGGATTTTTAAACAAAATTTTTGTTAGGGAACATATACAGCTCGCCTGGGCTCTGTCGGCCCTAGCCATTGCAAACAACCTTGTGCTCCAGGGCATTTTTCTGTAACAGGGTTGGAGCCCTGTTCTCCATGCCCAATTAATTTCTATCAGGTAATTGGGGTAATTTATGAAGATTTTTTAATTACTCGATTTAGCCGAATATTGGCCAGCAGCGTTGTCTTCAATGCTCAAACGATTCTTTCACTGCAGAGACTGGTAGATCTGCCGATGAGCATTGCAAAAAGCTGGATTGCCAAACACTTAAATGCCAGAATAGGGGGCAATGCGTCGTGGCTAATCATAAGGTATTTCTATTAGAAAATAAGATTGTCATATCAAAAAGTTATTTAATCACATCCCGATGTAATAAAATGTTTTTGGAAAAAGTGAGAGAAGGAGTATTCTATTTCCCCAATACCTCTCTTAGAGAGAGTTCCCTAAGTCTTACTGTACTCCCCTTAGTCATTCACCTTACTCGTTCACCTCAAGGAGTGTCTACCCTTTATTCGAGGCGAAGACTCTTAGGCGAATAAAAAATATTTTTTAACTATTTTAGGAAGTTTGTGAATGCCGCCCAGGCTTTATGGGTTCTCACTGTGAACAACAAATACCCCTCTGTGACTCTCACCCCTGCCTTAATGGAGGCACTTGTGAATTGCACAACGGAGCTTTTCGTTGTATATGTCCCCAAAACTATACTGGCTCGAGATGTCAATTTGGACCGGATGAATGCATCTCTTCTGTTCATTGTCCAAATGGGGGCGTATGTCAAGACTTGCCTGGGCTTGGAACAACTAAGTGTATTTGCAGGTGTGATATTTGTCACCCTCCTCAAATTATTTTTTATTTATTAAAGGACCGGTTTCACCGGGCCAGACTGTTCTCAAATCTCTGATCCTTGTCAAAGCGACCAACCATGCAAAAATGGTGCTCAATGTATTCCCTTACAACTTGGTCGTTATAAATGCAAATGTTTGCCCGGTTGGGAGGGAACAAATTGTGATAAGAATATTGGTCAGTTTCTGATATTTTTGGCAAGAAGCCCCCTTAATTTTAGATGATTGCACAGAAAATCCTTGTGCATTAGGCGCTAAATGTCACGATCTTATTAATGACTTTGAATGTGAATGCCCCCATGGATTCAGTGGAAAACGCTGTCAAATAAAAGATAATTTATGTGATCCAAGTCCTTGTCTCAATGGAGGTCAATGTGTGGATACTCTGTTTGATAGGCATTGTATATGCAAACGTGGGTGGAATGGGACCTTTTGTGAGCAGGAAGTTAACGAGTGCTCTCAGAAGCCTTGTCAAAATGGAGCTACTTGTCGCGATCAAGTAAATAAAAATCAGAATTTTCGTTCTGGTTTTTAGAAGATCAGAATATTCAGAAAATCAGAATATTTATTCTGATTTTCAGAAGATCAGAATAAATATTTCTTTATGTCCTTATCATAGGAGGACGATTACTCGTGTGAATGTGCACCAGGTTTTCACGGTTATCAATGCCAATATATGATTGATCATTGTGCCGTCAAGCCTTGTCGAAATAATGGAACATGTATAAATCGAGGTCCAATTTATGAGTGTCAATGCCCTCTTGGTTACGAGGGTGATCATTGTGAACACAATGTCGATGAATGCGAGATGATGACACCTTGTGATGCTGTTGGGACTGGAAGGTGCGAGGACTTGGTTAACGGTTTTAAGTGCCATTGTCATCCCGGATATGAAGGCACTTTCTGTGAACAACACGTTAGCCAGTGTGAAGACGAACCTTGCATGAATAATGGTACTTGTACTGATTTGGGTGCTGGTTTTCAATGTGAATGTCAGTTGGGATGGAAAGGTCTTTAGCTGATTAAGATTGGTAAATCCTGAAATGTTAAGGTGATCGTTGCCAGGAGATGGAAACACAATGTGATCGAAAACCGTGTATGAATGAAGGCAAATGTGTCCCATTAGTGGACGATTATTTCTGTGTTTGCCCGGTTAGATTGTAATTCCCATACATAACTTAATTCAACTTAAGGAGGGTGTGAGTGGAAAGAATTGCGAATTGGCCCCGAACCGATGCCTTGGAGAACCTTGCCATAACGGCGGTGTTTGTGGCGATTTTGGTTCCCGATCTGACTGTCAATGTCCAAAGGGCTATAGCGGCAATGGATGCCAATTCCGTTTTGATGGTTGCCACGAGGGCTTGTGCAAGAATGGTGGAACTTGTGTTAATAATAATGACTTGACTAAGCATGAAATGTCCAAAATTGAAAATTCGGTAGCTGTTGAACAGAACAGTGAAGCGATTGGATTTAAATGTGTTTGTGCTCCTGGTACCTTAAAAATCTAAAAAAAGATTTTTGACGAACTTGTTTTAAGGATTCTCTGGAAATGAATGCGAGATTGATATTAATGAATGTCAACCTTCTCCATGTCCTTTAGCCTCTCATTGTGTTGATTTAGTCAACGGGTATTACTGTAAATGCCCTTTCAATAGTGGGTTTTTATCGGTTATTTAAGGATTTTTTGTATAGTTTAATGGTAGTGTATGCTTCCCTTGAAAATTTATCCACGGATGCCTTATCCTTCCAAATTTTCTGGCTATCGAAAGATAGGGCAGCATAGGGCTGTATAGGGATAGGGCAAAGATAGGGCATTTTCGGTTTGTATACCTATCCCCACCCTTGTGCCATTCCATTATCTCACAAGCTACAAGGACGCTTACACAGTCGCGGAACAAAAAATAATTTTTTCTTAAGTGACTGGTGCCAACTGCGAGAAGAGAATTGATCCAGACTATGATTTACGCTTTCTTGAATCTTCAAGTCAGCCTGCTTCAGCCAGTTTAGGAATTCCTTTCAATTTTGTCTCGAGTGCATTAACTTTGAATATTTGGGTTAAATTTGAAAAGAATCACCAAACTGATGTTTTAAAAGAACAAAGAAAATCGCCCCCAATATTTTTCACGCTTTATAGTAGCAGGTGAAATTTTTGGAGGGATTTTATATTCAAAAATTATTTTGAATTTACACAGTTCCGCAAATCAACCAACAAATTTAACTGAACTTTTGACTATATCTTCTGAAGCAATAAATATTAGACTGTTTCCTGAACTTGATAAACAGCCTTTAGTAATTTTTATTATAATCAGGATATGATTATCGAGAAGGATTATCGTTAGGGTTGTCGGTTCTTGGAGATTCTTAGGATAGCTAAAATAGAACCGTAGACCTATCCGAAAAATCTTCTGTTCTTCCGTTCGGTTCGGTTCTGAACCTTAATCCCTAATTATATTATTTGATTGTCAGAATTGTTTAGCAATTTCTGAACTCTCAAATATCTCCATCCTTACAATAATCAGACACTTGAATTTTATGGATCTATCATTATCCCATATCATGTTCCTAGAGGACTGATCCCATTGCCTAATCCCAAGGATGCCCATTTGAAATCTATTATGATTTATGACCGAGATCACAAGGGATCACTGCAGTATCACAATTGTTTTCTTATCCATATCCATAAAATTCTTATCAAAAAAAATAAATTAAGGTTCTGCATTTCCCCATCCATCAACGTCCAGACACTCAGCTTGCCTGGAACAATATAATATTTATGTGGGATTCCCAACAAAAAGGGAGCTATTCCCTTTTATGGAATGCTGTTCGTCTATATTCTGATAAAGGATATGCTCCAGATCGTCGCCTAGATATTAATGCCTGGATAAACTTGGGCGATCCCAAGGGTATTGAACAGCAACAAAATCAGCATTTAATGACTAATAAAATAATTTCTACTGAATTACCTAAAGGAAATGAGAAAATGATTGGTACTAAATTTGTTGGGTCTATTACTAGAGTTAATATGGTAATTATTTTTTGACGTAGAAATTTTGAAAAAATTGGATGAGGGATAATTCTATATCAAGGACCATGTGATTAGTTTGCCCTTATGAGTAGAGTACTGTATTTAGAGAATCTGGAAACATTGAACTTGAGTTAAATCTTAACAGAAATTCAAATTCATATTTGATCCCAAATTTGTCCACTGACGATTTAGTTAAAGACCTCGAACACTATCTGACTGAACTCGTCTCTGGTCTCTCGAAGGGCAATTGCAAAATTCATAAAATGAGGGTTTATATAACGAGTGTTTTATTTTCAGTGGAATAGAATGCTAGATTTTGAAACAGAAATTCCTTCAATTGTTCAAAGATGTCAAGGCTCTCCCGATCTTTACGAAGGACTATCATTACGATTCGCAAATTATGATAGGCTTCAAGGAAAAGTGGAAAGAGTTGCTAAAAGGTACATACATATTTATAGAGCTCACTATAAGAGAGCTCTTTCGAGAGCTCACTCAGAGATCTCGTTCATTAAAAATTCTAAATAAATTTTTCAAGTACCTGTGGCCGTATCGACTTGTTATCTCCAACATGCCATTCATCTGGAGATGAAAATAAAAATTTAAAAGACCATCAATGCCGTTCCAAAATTCCATCTAATATGAATGATTACCTTAAAGAAGAGTTGGTAGAAGTTGAAGGATGTCCTATGGAACCCATAAATGTCCAGACACCTTTGAAGGAATTAAATATTTCTTGGAAGGAACCGAAATTTTATGAGACTAGTTTAAGGGTTCAAATAGCCAGAATTGAACAGAATTTAAAGCCTGGACAAGTAAAACTCTTCTCTCAATCATTAATAATACTATATTATTATGCAGGTGTTTACTTGGGGACAATATTCAGCTATTTATTTGGCTTTGGACAATCAATCTTCTCCTTTAGCTACATGTCAATTTAAGGTATTTAGTTAAAAATATCCGTCGCTCAATCGTATATCGGTATAAGATACATACAATACAAGATACCCTTCGACTTAGACGATTATGTTTGACAGATCAGGATCTGCTCTCCGGATCTAACAGATCCGGATCTGCTCTCGGATTATGTTTAACAGATTAGATCTCATTTTTCGGGCCTCATTTTTATCGGGCCGGCCTGACCGAGTCTTTTTCGGGCCAAAATTCGAAGCCCGACTCGTTCTTAAGGACCGGGCCGGATCGGCCCCCAACCCTAGTTCCAAGGATCTGTCTTAATTTAACATACACCTCAGACAAATTGAAGTTTTTCAGCCCCGAGGGGTGTATCTTATAGTAAGATCCGACTGTCAATAAATAGTTATTTTCTAAATTAAATTTATCAGATTAACGTGGTCAGAGAATTCTGTCCAGATCCAGAGATCCCAGTTAATGGAGTTCAACGCTGTGAGCAATGGGGACCTGGATTGCGCTATAAAGCGTGTTCTGTTCATTGTCAAGTAGGAAAGCTTTGACATCCAATAAAAAATCTCTTTTTAAGAACGGTTACGGCTTCAGCCGCCCTCCAGCAGCTTTCTACTCTTGTGGTGAGGACGGGAAATGGCGTCCCAACGAGGGGAAACAACGTCCTTTCCGTTACCCTCAATGCACTCGGCAATCACCGGCCGAGCACTTGGCTAGAATTCAATTAAGCTACCCACAACTAGCCTTGTGCAACCCTGCAGGAAAATCTACAGTAACCGAAAAAATAATTGAGAGAATTAATCAAATTAATAATAAATGGCATATTTGTGCTAATAATGAAGAAAGGTTGGAAATTCTAATTTTTTGGAAAATTAAATTCTGATTTAAAAAAAACTTTTTTATTAAAGCTCTGACTGTTCTGGGGTTCAAGTTCAAATTAATTGTCAAGACATTTTTGCCTCGGTACGTTTGAAAAGGCAAACTACTTTACAACAATTTGATGTCATAATTGATGGTTTTTAATTTTAAAAAATTCAAAATAAAATTTAATTAAGTCCCAATCAGAGAAATTCAAAGGATGGACCCTGTAGAAATTATCCGTGATGAGGCAATGGCTCACGGACTATTTTCTCTTGAGCAAGTTATACCTAATGGAAGACCTGATATTGGGTAAGGATTAAAATTAGTGAATAAATGTAATATTTTAAAATCAGAATTTGTAAATTTAAACAGAAATTAACATCATCAGAATTTTAAATAAATCAGAATATTATTAGCTTAAATATTAAATTAAAATAATTGAGTTTTGCAATTCAGAATTTATTAAAATCAGAATTTTAAGTCAGATAATTAAGAAGAATAATCTCGATATTTAAATATCAGAATATTAATTTAATAATCAGAATTTTCCAGAATTTAAGTTTACAAATCAGAATTAACAGGGCAAATCAGAATTTAAAAAACCAGAATTTTCTTCTCGATAATCAGAATTTTCCAGAATTTAAGTTTACAAATCAGAATTTCTGCATCAGAATTTTAATATCCATTTAAAAGAATAAATTCAGAATTTAAAAAACTCAGAATTTAAAATCAGAATAATTAAACTAATATTAAACAATTCCAGCGCATTTCGAGTAGAAAATGCATTCCGCTGCCCCGTTGGTTACTTGCTAAATAATGGAAGTTGTGTTCCTTGCGCACCTGGAACATTTTACTTTGTTCCGACAAGCGAATGCAAGCTTTGTCCTATCGGGCAGTACCAACCAGAAGAGGCACAGAATCAATGTATAGAATGTCCCACCGACTCTCCAATGACTGTTGGAATGGGGTCGATTAAACAAAATGAATGTAGAAGTAAGGGGAAATTTTTAGGAATTTTTTGGAATTTTGGAACTTAATTTAAAAAATTTTTCAACAGTTCGCTGCCTTCCTGGGCATCATTTAAATATTTCTACTGGACAATGCGAGCCTTGTAGCTATGGATTTTTCCAGCCCGATTCCGGAGCGTTCGATTGTATTCCTTGTGGAATAGGTAAAACGACATTGGAGAGAACGGCTATTAACGAGGATCAATGTCGCGATGAGTGTCCCGATGGGCAACAATTAACAGCTAGTGGAAGTTGCCAACCTTGCCCCCAGGGAATGTACAGAACCCGGGGTCAGGACAAGCAGTGTGTGGAATGTCCAAGTGGAACAACTACTGAAGGGGTTGGGGCTGGAAATAAAGCGGTGAGTGAGCGAAGAGTTGAATTTAAAATTTCAAAATTCTTCACTCATAGTTATGTAATACACCAAAATGTGGGGCAGGTCAATTCCTTCTTGCTGACATTAAACGCTGTCAATTCTGTCCAAGAGGTACTTTCCAAGACCAACAATTACAATTTGAATGTAAAAAGTGCCCTCCTTCATTTAATGTATTTTTTGAAATTTTTTCAATTTCGGAAATTTTTCAATTTTAATAGACAGCAGAGGAAGGGGCAACTAGAGAGTCTCAATGTTACTCAACTGATCAATGTGCACTTGGACAAGATAATTGTTCTTGGAATGCGCAATGTATTGACTTGCCTGATGATAACGTAAGGAGATTTTTCATAAGTACAACGATGCCCTAGACCACCAAGGGAGCCTATGAGATACGGTGCCTATATGCTTGGAAGAAGATGCTACAGGCTCTTATGACTCTCCCAGAGTGACTCTCTAAGACTCTCCCAGAGTGACTCTCTAAGACTCTCCCAGAGTGACTCTTTAAGACTCTCCCAGAGTGACTCTCTAAGGCTCTCCCAGAGTGACTCTCTAAGACTCTCCCAGAGTGACTCTCTAAGACTCCCAGAGTGACTCTCTAAGACTCTCCCAGAGTGACTCTCTAAGACTCTCCCAGAGTGACTCTCTAAAACTCTCCCAGAGTGACTCTCTAAGACTCTCCCAGAGGAGGGGTCTCTAGGACTTGATTATAGTCTCTAGGACTTGACCTAGCCGCTAGAATAACTAAGCAACCTATCTTTAGCGAGCAAGTCTTCTGAATATACAATCCTAGATTAAGCCTAGTTTAGTCACCGTGCAGAACTCGAACCGGCGACCTCGATGCTAATCCTATTTAGCTTGGTATTGCGTATAGCTTTGTAATCTGGGCTACAGTAGGAAACAAATTTTGCTCTCCCATTTCTGCCTATGTAACCCCTCCTATGCGTTTTAAATGGTTCAAGAGTAATCATCCTTCACTAAATCAGAAACTGAGACCCTTCTGATATCCTTAACAAAGCCTTAACATTAAACAGTAGTTAACAGCCATATTCTTTAAATCCGTATCTTTAATTCAAAGGATGTAGCATCGTGGAGATGTGTTTGCAATCCTGGATTTAGAGGAAATGGTATAAACTGTACAGGTGGAAACACAAAAATTTTAATAGTTGATAATAAAATATTATTTAAAGATGCCTGTCTAAATTTCTGCTTAAACGATGGAATTTGTAGGAAGAATAAGTTGGGGCATGTCGAGTGTTCTTGTAAAGAAAACTTCTCTGGAGAGCGTTGTGAAATACGTTTCCAGGTAACTAAGAAGTTTATGAGTTATGGGCCCATGGTCTAAAATAGCGACTATAAAGTTTGCTGCCCTGCTTGGAAGAAGCGGGTCTCTAAGACTACAGGGTCTCTAAGACTCTCTCAGAGAAGGGGTCTCTAAGACTCTCCCAGAGAGGAGGGTCTCTAAGACTCTCTCAAAGAAGAGGGTCTCTATGACTCTCCCAGAGAGGAGGGTCTCTAAGACTCTCTCAGAGAGGAGTCTCTAGGACTTGATTACATACCGTCTGGCTCTATTATTTTACCTAATTACTTTCCAGCCTCGTTCTCAAAAACTTGTTTACTGGACTGGCGCTATTGTGGCTGTGGTATTTCTCCTGATTGTTATTGTTGTAGTTATCTGGATGATTTCTTTACGGTTTAGTCGTTCATCGGACAATTCCTTTTGTAAAATCTTTATAATTTTTGAAATTTTTCTTAAATTTACAGTATCCTCCCCTCTAGACAAACCAGCTCTTTCATTCACTCAAAGCACCACAGATTCTCCTCTAGCTTCCAACTTTCTTTACGGCCGCCCACCGCCTATACTCGACAGATCACATTCCTCTTCACTTGGAGGTGGTGGATCTAATTCAATAATTCACCCTATCGGTTTTTACTATGAAGATGATCAGTCTCCATATGATGGGGGTGTTGTAAGCGCCGTTAGCAGACATGGACGTGAAAATAGTCAAGAGGTATACACATTTTTTAAGTGCGTCCAAAAAGCTCGTTAATCTCTTTAAAGATGAAATCCATCTTTCTGGCTAGCACTGTACCAGATAACAACAATGATGTTGTAGGAGGTTCATCTTCTGCCTCACACTCTCCCGGTCAGCAAAATAATGGAGGAATTAAAGTAACAGGGACAACGAATACTACGAATAGCAGTGGAGGGTTTGTTTGATACTAATTAGAGGGCGGTCGGAATTTCCTACTTTCGACATTTGATTTCGACATTTTCGACATTTCTGACCGTCCTCTGATGCATATAACCATTTAAAAATCAAATTCCTAAAAATTAGGTCCCCTGGATCAGCTACAAGAGCATTAGAACAACGCTTAAGGCACATACAGCAACATATGTACAGACCAATGGGAGATGGTTGAATTTGATTTAAAAATTTTAAAAATAAATATAAAATATATATTTGAAGTATTAATTTAAATTATTAATTTTTATTGAATTCTCGTGCCAAAAAAGTTAATGTATAATAGAGATTGGAAATTACTAAGATTTTAACAACCTTCTGTACAGAAATCAGAATATACCGTAAATCCTCTAACATAGCCCCCGGGGGCTATTTTTTCGATCGACCTTTAGAGGGGGGCTATTTTAGAGAGGGGGCTATTTTAGAGGGGGGGGCTATTTTATGGGGGGGGGCTATTTTAGAGAGGAGGCTATTTTAGAGGGAGGCTATTTTAGAGAGGGGGCTATTTTAGAGGGGGGGGCTATTTTAGAGAGGGGGCTATTTTAGGGGGGGGGGGCTATTTTAGAGAGGGGGCTATTTTAGAGGAAATACGGTAACTTGTATACCTAATAAGAGTAAAATTTTGAAGATGAAATTGAAACCCCCCCCCTCCTTCCAGAAATTCCAATCTCCAATTAATTTTTTAAAATTCTCCCAGCACATTTTTTGTATTTTTGTTTAATTTATCAACATAATTAACAAATAAATTTTTACAATAATTAATTAATTATCCAATAGGTATCCCTTTAGGGGGCGTCATATCACCACACATATTACAAGCTTCTTTACACTGCCATCTCATTAGATCAAGATAAAGCTTAAATTAATTTCCTTAAGATCTTAGAAATCCTTTTCTACCTCCATCTTGCAATACCCAGCTTTTTGTCTGTCAGGGCAGTCTGTTCCCAAATTCTGACAAACCCCACATTGGTTGCAGGTTTTTTTACAATCACGGTACATTCCCTCATAGGCATACTTTTTTAATTAGAAAATTTTTTTATTAATATTTTTGAGCCGAGGCATAGTCGAACTCGTTATTTTATATTTTAGATAGGTTCCTAAAATTAGTTCCATTAGGATACTGTATCTTTTAAAATTAAGGTAGGGGCACTAAATTTTGTCATACATATTACTTGGGCAACTCCAAGCTATATGCTACTATGAAAAGATTCATTGCACGGGAGATCGGATAGAACGATATAAGCCAGACCAGAGCACAACTGTCTTAAGGTTGGACCTTGATTATCCAACCCCTAGCTAAGTTTCACTCATTCAATTTCGTTCTGAAAGCAAAACTACACCCAGTAGCCAATCAAAATTTAATTAATGCCAATTTTGTCAGTAAATATAAGGATCGACTTTATTCTTAACTAAATGTATCATTAATAATACTTACAGCAACTATACAAAGGTCTGCTTTAGTCTCGCAATCGCCCAAACTGTCCGTACAGTCTATAACATATTAAAATTATTTAAAACATTATGCCAAAAAAATTTAAAAAATTCAAGACCAGTTCCCCCTCCTCCAGTTCCTCCGCCTGTGCTCCCACCAGTTCCTCCTCCCTGAGCTCGAGTACCTATAATACATAATTTTTGACAATAGAATGTAGCCTACAGCAATAATCATCCCCTGTTGAAACATGCATACATGTCTTTGATCTGTCGCTTTGGCATACTCCATTAGTACACATAAAAGATTATTTAAAATAATTTGAATAGGGGAAACGTAAAGAATTTTTAAGGCGTTCCAACTAAATTTTATTATTTGGGCTTAATAAAGTAGCTAATGTATCAGGACTTTAGTGCGTCCAAAAAGCTCGTTTATGTAATGAGCATTTTTCGGGATCGCTCCTCAGGTTCGGTATCTCTCACGAACCAAAATATGTTTTCCGTCAAATGATCCCTTTCCTTCCCTCAAACTTTTTTAAAAATTTAATTACTTTGGAGTGCTATCAATTAGAATTTGAGTTTTTGCAGCGTCCTCACAACGTTGAGGACAACAATAGAAATTTCTATTGCCATTAGCATCAGTATATTGTTCACACCCCCATTGTGTGTTTTTCTGGCAACGCATTTCTTTTAATGCTGGTTGGGTGCCAGCTGTTTGTGGTACTCTTGTACACCTTTAAATTTAATTTATATGCTTTTATCGAAGCTTTATAAGAATGAAAATTTTCTAGAACCCAAGTCTGAAACAATATCAGGTGTGTGCCATCTCTCTCTCATCTCTCCCTTCGCAATCTCTTCCTTCGCCATCTCTCTCCCTTTGCCATCATCATCTCTCCCTTCGCCTTCCTTCGCCATCATCTCCCTTGCCATCATCATCTCTCCCTGCCATCATCTCCCTTTCGCCATCATCATCTCTCCTTCGCCATCATCTCTCCCTTCGCCAGCATCTTCTCTCCCTTCGCCATGGCTCCCCCACAAAAGAGTCAAACCACAAAAGAGTCAACCCACAAAAGAGTCAAAAGGCTAAAAACCCACAAAAGAGTCAAACCACAAAAGAGTCAACCCACAAAAGAGTCAAAGGGCTAAAAACCCACAAAAGAGTCAAAAATCTAAAAACCCAAAAATACAAAAATCTAATAAGAAAACGGTTCTAAAATGGTTCTAAACCAACAGAATCTTCGATTCTAGACCAACAGAATCTTAGGTTCTAAATCAACAGAACCTTCGCTGGAAAAACTGTTTTTGTGCTGCTACGGAGGGTAGGCCGGGCATGGTCTTCGCTACACGATGGCCGTACTTCGCTGCGGTCGTGCTCGCTGCGCTCGCGGCGACCGTAGCGAAGCGGCGGCCGTCGTTCCGCTCGACATGCCCGGCTTCCTCCGCAGCGGCAAAAACTTTTTTCCGCGAAAACTTTGTGGAAGGGGCTAAAACAAACGGTCATAACTTTGTCAAATCAAGTCGGATTTCGTTGATTTTGGTGTCATTCGACTCCCCTTCCTCGTTTCTATAACCAAAAAGCAATTTTAAATGGAAGAAAACCAATAAAAATAAAAATAAAATCTTGTTGACTCTTTTGTGGGTTTTTAGCCTTTTGACTCTTTTGTGGGTTGACTCTTTTGTGGTTTGACTCTTTTGTGGGTTTTTTTGCCTTTTGACTTTTTTGTGGGTTTTTTAGCCTTTGACTCTTTTGTGGGTTTTTAGCCTTTTGACTCTTTTGTGGGTTGACTCTTTTGTGCGGACACGCTTCGCCATCATCTCTCCCTTCGCCGTCATCATCTCTTTCTCTCATCTCTCCCTTCGCCATCATCATCTCTTTCTCTCATCTCTCCCTTCGCCATCATCATCTCTCCCTTCGCCATCTCCCCCTTCGTCGGCACACCCCTGAACTACATCACATGAGCGAGATTCAAGACCTAGACTTGACCTCATGACTTGACATTGAAAAATCTTCGGATTATCATTATATCCGATACTATAGGGAGAAATCCGTCGTGCCATTATAGCAAATATGTTACGATTTTTGAATGAACAAAAATCAGATTTTAGATATATGGGAGAGAGAAAGTAGGGGGTAAGGGCCTAATTCATGATTTTTTAAAATTACTTGTTCGAAGCATCATTTGGATCAAAAGTGATTCCACCACAGCTGTACGGAGCAGCATTAATTAATGACAAAAAATTATTTAAAAATAAATTTAAATAAAATATTTTAAAGCTTATTTTTAATTTTATTGACATTTTAAAAATTAAAATTGATTGGAGGGGAAAATTTTAAAGCTTTTTGGTTAGCTAATTAAACAAAGGGAATAAAGTGGGCAAAAAATTATTTAAAAATTAATAGTCGAAGCGTATTAATGCAAGTTACGAGGACGGGTCTCTCTCCACAAGATACGTGCCTCTCTCTCTCTCCACAAACTAAATGTATGTAGAAGAACATCTCAAGAATATAATAATATTCTTTATCACAAGAGTAATTTGAAGGATGCTAAAGATACTAGCAAAACTGGGTATTTAGTAGTGATGTTCGAGACTCTCGGTCTCGACTCTCGGTCTCGACTCTCGGTCTCGACTCTCGGCTTTTTGTGACTCTCGAACATCACTAGTATTTAGTAGTACCTTTGGGAAAATTTTGGCTTCTTAGCCTTTCAAAATTTAAAAATTTTTGCCGGTGGAGGTAATTTAAAAGACATGAGGTTTCTTCACGAAATTTTTCCAAGATCTCTCCTTATCAGACATCAAACTGATGCTTGGTACATCTTCCGAATCAAATTTGACAGATGAATTTGTTAATGATTTAGTGGATGGGTGCCACTGGGGGCGCCACTCCTTACAGAAAACGCGCGCCACTCCTTGCAGAAAGTGAGGAGGAGGGGGCACTCCTTACAGAAAAAATGCAAGAAACGGAGTGAAAGGTGCATATTCCTTCACAGGTGGGGAGTCAACTGGACATTTAACGAATTTTGTAAAGTTTTAGAGGTTTTTAAAAACCTCGATAATCATCAAATATCAGACCTCGACCAAAATTTGCCCCTCGATCTCGGCTTTTCCCGCCCCCGTTTCAGCCTCAGTTTTTTAACTCGATCTCGTGCAATTCTACTTTTAATAGATCTTAACGTCTAGTGAGCCTAGTCTTCTTCTTCCTTACAACAGTAGTCAGGTCAGTGCCATCATGATTTGGAACACTTAAGGACACACTAAAGAATCTCTAGACTCATAGCGGAGACTAAATAATTTCGCCTTTCGTCTTTCGCCTTTCGCCGATTTTCGCCTTTCGCCCTTCGTCTTTCGCTTTTTAAATCGCCTTTCGTTACACCCCTGGTATACGGGTCTCAGATACACGGTATAAACGGTATACGGTTTTTTCAAAATTAAAGGGTTTTGTGTAACCCTAATTATTAAGCATTCACATTTATTAACATTTTCTATATTTTTAAAATAAAAATTAAGCTTAAAAAAATATTTTTTATTAGCATTAACACTTAATCAAACAACTCAAAATTTAGAAAAATAAAATTTAAATTTTCTAAATTAATTTTTATAAAATAAAATTTCCATATATGGCAATTTTATGGCAATTTTAAAAAATTAAAAAAAAAATTTTGAGCAAAAAAAAATAATTTTAAATGCATTTTAGTTCATATTACTAGTAGGCATTTGCAAAATAATATTTTTAGGTATTGCTTTCATTGTATGATAAAAAAATTTTTTTTATTCAAGCTGGTTCAAATATGGTTAAACAATATTCCTATATTTTTTTTATTATTATTTTTTGCTTTTTTCAAATTTAGCAATACATATTTTCAATTTAGCAACAAGTATCATGTTAATAAATAAGAGGCTCTAAGCCCCAAAAATTATTAATATTGTTATTCATTTATTTTTAAAATTAATTCAAGTATTCATATACCTCTGATAATTCTTCTAATTTTTCTTTTTTATTGTTCGACTATTATTGACTTCTGAACGTCCGCCAACCCTTACAGAAAAGGTGTTTCTCGAGCTAGTCCAGGGATTCTTCTAAAGCTTGACCTGGGAGCTTAACCCTTGAGCTTTAGTTCTAAGCTGTTTCTCGAGTCCAAGTATTCTCGAGTTAGTCCAGGAATTTTCGAGTTTGTCCAAGTATTCTCAAGTTTGTCCAGGGATTCTCGAGTCTGTCCAGGGATTCTCGAGTTTGTCCAAGCTTTCGAGTTGCCCCACCAATCTATTCGGGACGCCTTGGTTTTTTCTAAATGTTGATGACCATAGAGCTTCTAGGAAAAAAATTTTTCACGTTTGTAGAGCATATAGCAGCTTGCTACTTCCTATAACTATGCAAAAGGCGGAGTGGTGTACTACCAAGCATTAATCATGTTGATTGAAGATGCTTGGCCTATCCTAGAAGATCTGATTCACGCTAAATAACCTTTTGCATTAGCTAAGGACTAGTCTTTGCCCCTATTCGAAAAAAAATTAAAACGAAAAAGAAAATTTTTTTTCCGGGAGAAAAAATTTTTTCACATCTCTATCATGCCCCTCAAATATTTTTAAAAAATTATGTCCTAAAAAAATAAAAATTTTTTAGAAAAAAACAAGCATGCTCATTACTATTACCAATTTAATTATTCCCCTTTTACTATTTTTATTTTTTAAATTAATTAATTGTCTAAACACACCCAACTTTAATAACCCTTTTCTACAACGCCCAAACATTATGGTTTTTATGGTGGATGATCTTGGGTTTGGGGATTTACAAAGCTTTGGAAATTTGGAACAAGAATTTAATCCTGTTGATCAGATGATACGTGAGGGGATTAGATTTACTAATGCTTATTCGGCTGATTCGATGTGCTCTCCTGCACGTGCTGGATTTATAACTGGTATCTTAATTTATAGGTCGGAAGGACTGGATAGGGCTGGAGAGACTGGATTTTGAAATTTTGGAAAATTTTATTATTTACGTGCTATACTGTGGAAAATTTCATCGGATGAGTGATGAAATTAAACCATCATGGAATGAGCCCAGACCGAAGCACAACCGATTGTGCCACCATCCAACCCGATGATAAGTTATTAAGAGCTATTAGATTACACATTTTAGATCTATACAAATTAACTTTAATTAATAATTGAAGGCCGTCTTCCTATACGACTCGGCGTCACAGGAGGTAACCGTGTCTTTATGATATATGATAAAGGCGGTTTGCCAAAAGAAGATCCAACAATAGCAGAAATGTTAAAAACCCATGGATACAATACTGGGATGGCTGGAAAATGGCATTTGGGAATTAATGAGAATAATTATACTGATGGAAATCATTTGCCTGGACGTAGAGGATTTGATTATGTTGGGATAAATTTGCCTTATACTTTGATTTGGGAGTGTGACGAGACTGGAGAGCTTTACCCTGGAGGGATCGATCAGGATAGATGTTTCGTTTATAAAGGGGACAAGGCAAGTTTAGTAGAAAGTAAACAATGTTATTAGGAGAGAGACTTGAGATGAGAGAAAGACTCTTTTTTGAAGGAGAGAGAGAGTCTCTCTTTTGAAGCGGAGAGAGAGTGACTCTTTTGAAGAAGAGAGAGCTCTTTGAATGAGGAAGGAAAGTCTCTTCTAAAGCTGAGAGAGAACCTTTTTTGAAGGGGAGAGAGCTCTCTTTTAAAGGGGAGAGGGTGATTCTCTTTGAAAACAAGAAGGACACTGAAGAGGGAAAGAGGACAGTGACTCTCTTAGAGGGCGGGAGAGACGATGAATGAAGAAGAGATATCATTTAAAGTGGGATGAGAATTCTTTTTTTGGGGGAGAGAGAGTCAGTATCTTAAGGTCTCAAGCATATGAGTGAGCTCTCATAAGAAGCTCTTATGTTAAGCTTCGACATATAATGAGAGTTACTTATAAGTCAAAGTTATCCATCAAATAAACTTAAATTAGATTGTTCAACACCCAACGACTTATTCAAATTTTACTGCTGAAATGCTTGCTGATTGGCGCTACTTTCTCAGTAACAAAGCCTTGCCCACCATCAACACCAAACCCTTCTTTTATTTCCACTCATTTCCCCATGTCCATGTTGCACAATTTGCCAACAAAAATTTTAAAGGGAAATCTGCGAGAGGTTGGAAAAAATAATTCTTGGACCAACTTAGCCCCTTTAAGGTATTTTTGGTGATAATCTAAACGAGATGGGCTGGTATGTCGGTGAAGTCATTAAAGATCTCTGGGCTAACAGACTTGCTTTCAACACTCTTGTAATCTTCCTTTCTGATCACGGCCCTCATCAAGAGCTGTGTAATAATGGGGGATCAACAGCTGGACTAAAGGGTAGCTTAACAAAGCTTGAAATAAATCTCCTCATTCTCTCACAGGTGGAAAATCCAATACTTTTGAAGGCGGATTTCGCATTCCAATGGCTGCATGGATGCCGGGCAATATTTTCCCTGGTCAAGTCTCCCATGAAGTTATCTCTGCAATGGATCTTTACCCAACATTCGAGAGATTAGCTACAACACCAAAAGCTAGAGATCCTTCATATGTACCTCCACCAAAACAAGAAACAAGAAAAATGGATGGAATTGATATTTGGCCACAACTTTTAGGACTTTCGGCTTCAAAGGATAATAAGCCCCTAACTCCTTTAATTGACCAGCGGCCAATATTCTTTTACTGTAATGAAAAGCTCTTGGCTATTAGAGCAGGGAAGTATAAGGTAAGATGGAAAATGAATATCAGGATCCGGAAGCAGAATCCAGAAAAAGGGGCCCCCGATCTAGACCTTTTCCGGAAATAATTCTACCATCGGATCTGAATAATTTGTCGGACGTTATATTCATTTTAAAATTAAAGGTCCATTATATGACTCAGTTGATCTTCAGAGATAATACTTCTAATGTTCAGGAAAACTGTCCAGGAGGGAAACCGAAACAAGAATGGTATTTAACTAGGCATTAAAACAAAGTTTAAATAATATCAGGTTTGTCAGCTTTTTCTGTCCAGACGAGGAGCTTATCAAACACGATCCCCCTTTGATTTACGATCTGGACAAGGACCCTTATGAAGTATACCCTATAGTGGATGAAGCTACAATTAAAACCGTAACGGATAAAGCTTCAAAACTGATTGACGATCATCGCAAATCAATTGTTCCAGTCAAACAAGTATTGGGAGATTTTGATTATAATGGTTGTCTTTGGCCGGTAAAAATATTATAAACTTTTTTATTATATAATAATAAATTCTTTGGAAATATGAATGGAAAACTTTCCGGAAAAAATATAACATTTTTCTTCCGGAATGGATATAATAAATAAATTAGATATAAACTTTCCGGAAAAGATATAATTTCATACTTTTTCCGGAAAAGTATAACTCTAAAAATAAATTAAACATGAAACTTTCCGGAAAGAATATAACATTATTTTCCTTCCGGAATGGGTATAATAAATTAATAAGATATAAATCTTTCCGGAAAAAGTATAACTCTAAAAATTGTTATTAAACTTTAAAAATTTCAGTGTTATGGTGACAATTGCGGATGTTGGGCATGATCAAACTAAACATTTTAATTACTTGGATTTATGGGAGATTATTTTTGGATTTCGGGAGATGAACTTTTAAGAATTCTGGGAATCATAAATAAATTATTTAATACCTCATTTAACAATGGATTTTTACAAAATACTTTATTTTCTTGAAATCATTTATTAATTTATTAAATTATAAAATATATATGGGACAATATTGGATTAATAAAGCTGAGGGTGATTTTTCTAAATTTAATTTCTACATAATAAAATTTGTCATATAAAATTTTAAGTCTGCAAAATTTTTAGATAAGGATTTAAGGTGATTTAATATTCATATTAGTATTTTCCGGAAAAAAATATATTAATGCTTTCCGGAATAAAAAGGCGAAGTGAACTTTATAAATTTCCGGAAAACTCAAAATTTATTAACCAAAATTTCAATTTAATTATTTCATTGACAAAGTGATATGTTCCTCTTTCGATCACTATTTATTTTACACATCGGGATTGATGGTGAACGTGTCCTTGAAGGTTTTCCTTCCCTTGTTTGGAACGAGAGAGGCAATAATGGCAGCAAATGTGTAGGGGAATTGCTTCCGTTTTTGCTTCCTTTTGGAGATATATCCTTGACATTTTGATAGTGTTTTACAATAAAAATGCTTAAATAAATCTGGAAAAGCAGGGATTTATTTAAAAAATGATTTTTGAAATTTTAGAACCTTTAATGGTACACTGAAAGAATTAAGGGTAGACCCGAGCTGGTAAATACTCAAAAGACTCCAATAATCAAAAAGAACAAAGTGTTCGAAGCCTTTGAGGTATATTAACATCTAAAAATTTTCAATAATATTTTTAGAACAAAATTTTTAAATTTTACGGCAAAATTCATTAAATAGGTGGAAATCTGCATTATAGCGTGGACATTGTGTAAAGTTATCCAACATACCCACCAGATAAATAATTCTTGTTTTTGCTAAACTATAAAATAAAATTAAAAGAATTCTCTAAAGAAATATTCTTATAATAAATTTTGAATTAAATTATACCCGTTTCTCTGCTAGATATAATAAATAAGGCATTATAAAGCCGGGTAGAACGAAAGCAATGAGGAAGCCATGAAAAAAGTAGAATTGTACTGAAAATGATATAGTATAGGTACTTTCCGGAAAGAGAATACTATAGTCTATATTTGTATATTTTCGGAGGAACTATCAGAATTACAACCGGAAAGAATATACTAGAAGGAAAATAATGAGTAAACCTCTGAAGGAGGATATGGGTATGATCCGGAAAGAAAATAGAACCGGAAAATTTTTACTAGACTAACAAACGGAATGAAACAATGCATTCCGGAATTAATTATAAAAAACCGAAAGGAAATAGAACCGGAAATTATAGGAACCGGAAAATATAGCAACCGGAGATTATAGAAACATGAAATCATGGAAACCGGGAATATTTTATTAAAACAGGAATGAAAATAACGTTAAACTTTGCGAAATCAAAATATACTAAAAACCGGAAACAGAATATAAAAGATGGAAATATTAGAAAACGGAAGGAATTTTTTTAATTTACAACCGGAAGGAGTATAATTCAAAAAATAATTTTCATTATTACAATTTCAAAAATACCTTGTCTATCATCATATACAACATCTGCCATTTGCCGCATCCGACTACCATTAGGCATTTCCAAGTAATAAGTATACAGGCCGTGACGTTGTATAGCTGGCTTTAAATTTTTTAAAATACAGCTGGTGTCGAGTAGTTGGAAAATAGCCACTAACTAATTTTTTTATTATTTTAATTAATTCCGGAAATACCGGAAAAGATCCACTTAATTGACTAGAGTTATATGTATGTCTATTAATTCCGGAAAGGAAATAGATTCTCAACCCGATAACTCTAACTTTTAATAAATTAGAGTTATACATACATATAATTAATTAATTCCGGAAAGAAAATAACCGGAAAAATAAACTTTTTCGGCTAGAGTTATATTTATGTCTATTAATTCCGGAAAGGAAATATTAGATTCCGGAAAGAATATAACTCTAACTTTTAATAAATTAGAGTTATACATATAATAAGTATTCAAGTTTCCGGTTTATTCAAGTTTAATCTTAAATTTTAATAAGAGAAATAAAGTTGTATTGTCTCTTCAAGTTTTATATTCTATTCACGTATTAATTTTTAAGTTTAATCTTAAAGTTGAATGAAAATTAAGTTTAAATATTCAGAATTAATCTCAAACTCGAATAACTATAGCAATAATTTAGTGTTTAACTTATAATTTGCTTACTGGGCTAATTATAGCAGCAATTAATATTTTCACTGTGGTATGTATGCCTCCACGCATAGAATGAATATAATTAGCTTTAATTGAAGACAAAATTCTTTATATTAATATTTACGAATTTATTTTATTTTTGCATAGAAAATTTTATAATAAGCTTTTAGCCAGTTCATGTTCAAATTTAAACAGTGTTACGCTAATGAGGCTTGTTTTAGTAATCCGTAATTTGAGTAAATTTAAAATTTTTCTTATGTTTTCCAATTTATTTTTACATGCAAAAAAATTATAAAAATTTAGGAGAATTTAAATAAATGAGGAAATGGAAGTGAGGAAATGGAACTGATGGAAGTGATTTTAAATTTAATTATGGAAAGGCGCCTTTTTCTTTTTAATTCTATAGGGATTAGCCTAAAAACGAAAGCTGAGATTGGTGCTTTTATTATTAAAAAATGAGGAATAAAGTAATTAAAATAAGAAAGATGTCTGTATGTATAAGGGATGCTACGGGTTACACGAAATCTGGCCCGACATACATATTTTGGACCCGAAATCTGGGCCTATAAAATTTTCAAAGCCCCAACCTGACTATTTTCCCTTTAATCCCCTTGCTGAATAAGCCAACCTCGATCCTATTTTGCTATCTGAGACCCGAAACCCGGTCCAAAAAAATTATGAAGGCCCGATTTGAAGCCCCCCCTCCTTACTGTTTTCTCAACCCATAACATCACTGGTATGTATCAAATAATTCATTAGGCATCAGAAATTCTGTATAAAATTTAAAAACAAAGGCTTATTATTTTAAAAATATTTTTAAAAAATAAATAGAATAGAAAGGCACTCAAAGCTTTAGAGAAAATAAAAGTCACTAATTGTAGTTTTAAATATATATATATATGGCTATGAAAGCCTTTGAAAGCCTATAGTGCATATAAATAAAAATAAATTTATGCCATGCCACACACGACGGGGGAAAGACAGCTGGAACGAACGCTTTCAAAAATTTTTTTTCTTTTTCATTCTCACGCTTTGGAGGAGGTAAATCGGGAATGGCAAAAATGGAAATTACCAAAAAAAGGGTGTTAAATAAAATAAAAAGCCATTAGTTTTGCAAATAAAATAGAATATATTTTTTAATATTTTTAATGGATTAAGAGGGATATATATTTAAATTAATGTCTCGGTTTTATTGAAAAATTAATAGATAATAAAGGTTAATTTAAATATTATTAAGCGAATTTTATTAAGCGAAAGACGTATTCGAAACACTAAATAGGGCCAAAAATTGGTGGATGGCAAGAAATGAAATGCAAAACTGGCATACATTGACATACAGATGTGTGTATCAGGGATCTAGCCGACATAAAAATTCAATTCCCGATTTTCGGGGATCGGGTCGGCTAGATCACTAGTATATAGAATTTGCAAATTCCGGAAAATAATTCCTAAAAATTTAATTTTATAAAATAATATATAAATAATAAATTTAATTTAATTATGAATATTATGCTTAAAAATTTAAATTAGAAATTGACTTATAAAAATTAAATTTATACTATTTTTTAATATTTTCCCATCCAACTTTTCTCCTCAAAACCTCAATCTATTCAATTTCCCTTAAAAATAAGCTTGGAAAAATCCGGAAAGAAGCTTCATTTAAAGCTGGCAGCTACATGCGGCATTCCTTTTTGCATTTTAAATCGATAAAGCTAAAAAATTCCAAAGTGCATTTTTTATCTGTTTTTTTTATAAATCCGACTAGTTGTGAGGCTTAAAAATTCAAAAAAAAATTTATTCAAAATTTTTTTAAAATTTAAATAGATGCCTAATATTTTATTATTTATTCACCTATATTTATTAACCCAAATGGCCCCTCTAATTACATCTATTGGATATGGGTTTTCTGTAGGTCAATCACCTTGGGGAGGTTTAGAAAGTAGAGAAGGAGCAGTCTGCAATTATGTTAGTAAATATGGTATTCAGATGAATTTAAGGTAAATTATTAAAGCTTAACTTTTCCGTGGATTAATTGACAGAAACTATCGGTTTTTTAAATCCAAATTTTCGACCAGAAGTGTTTTAGTGTCCATACATGGCAGGCACACTTCCTCAAATTTGGCCCCAGAGGAGTCTCTGAGAAATGAGCCCCCTGCATGATGCGAGAGGATTTCAGTTGCCCACTTCAAGGGTTATGAGAACTTTCTGTTAGTATAGCCGTCTAAGGGCTTATTCCAGACATGATTTCCCTGAAAACGATCAAACGTGATTTAGTGCCCATAGACAGCGAAATAGCCTGTAACACTTTTTTGAATTTGGTCGCAAAGAAGGTATCTCTGTGACTTGAGCCCCTGCAAGAGGCAAAGGAGCAGTTTGCAATTCACTCTGCCTTTGGGGGCTTTAATTTCGCCCTGCCACCTGTTGCCCCCGAATCTATAAACTATTAATTACAATTTAGCCATGAATTAATAGCTGAATTGGAGTGGAAACCTAGCAAAAGTAAACGAAGCACCCCACCAACAACTATGCTAGAGTGGGATGAACGGGTTCAACTTAATTATAATCATCTGGAAAAGCCTCAGAAAAATTGTTCTGATGAACATTGGATTTTAGAACATTTATTGAAGGATTATGATAAATTTAGAATTCCAGGGGAAGGGAATGTACGTGTTGAAGTTGAGGTAGATTAATTTCGAATTTATTAGAATTAAAAATATTAAAGATTTGGGTCCAGGAAGTGTCAAAAATTATTGAAATTACGAGCGAATTCGAATTGGATATTTACGTCACTGAATGGTGGCTGGACTCGAGATTGGCCTTTTCCCATCTTAATCCCTGCAAAAAGTTTAACTTGAAAATTATTCAAATTAATTTCAATTTAACATAGAAATATGTCGGTGGATGGTGCCCGAGTATTACCTGAAATTTGGAATCCTTTAGGGTGTTTTGTAAACAGTAAAGACGCTACAGTTCATAAGAGCCCTTTCAGCAACATTTTTCTACAATTGTAAATTTTTTTAAATAATTGTAAAATTTATTTTACAATACTCTCAAAATATTAAATAAACTTGTTTACAATTGTAAAACCAGAATTTTAAACGAACATGTTTACAATTGTAAAAACTTTTCTACAATTGTATATCGACAAAACCAGAATATTAAATACCGTAAATACTCTCATAGAAGCCCACCTCTAATATAAGCCCATCTGAGGAGACCCATTGAAAAATACAAGCCTAGGGCTCCTATTAGAGTAGTTACGGTATATTTGTTTTAAAATAATTCTGCTCTATTCTTTAGGTATGAGAATGGCTCAGTTTGGCATAATTACAGGCAAATAAATTTTACCATACTTTTTAAACGACTTTAAATTTTGCCCAAGTTTTTAGAATTAAATTAACTGGACCTTGCTCTAATACATTCAATCGCTTTCCGATTGATCAACAAAGGTATTGTCGTTCTTAGAATTTTTTAAAATTTATTTAAAGGTGTATGCTCTTCTATGAGTCGTTTAACCATAATTATGTAATTTAAAAAATATTTTTTTAATAAAATTTTTAATTAACACTAAAGGAGCAAGTCCAAATGGAATGGACAATGTCTCCAATTATTTTGCTGAAACCTAATATAACTTTGCCAGATTATGTTTTGGTTGACTTTAAGGCTTCCAGTGTTAAAAGAGTTTAAATATTAACTAGAACTACGTAAATTTATTTAAATTTAAGCTTTACCCACCCGGCATATGGAATGAATTGGTAGCCACATTTACTTTCAAGAGACTATATGGTTTCTATATTCTTCAGGTCATCTAGAATAATAATTAATAAAATTTAGACCAATTATATTGTTATTATAACGGTCATATGTATGTAAATCTTTAAAAATTTTTCTGGAAGTTAATAAAATTAATGTAAACTTAAATATAACTACATATGAGAATTTTCAGAATTATACTGATTATTTAAACTAACAATAAACTTTTTCCGGAAACATATAACATATCAGAATTAAACCGGAATTACAAAATAAACTCTTTTCTGAAAATAAACCTGTTCAGAGTTATAAGCAGAATAGTTAAACTTTTTCCGGAAAATTAAACTTTTTATGAGTTAAACCAGAATTATAAATATAACTATTTTCCGGAAACAATATAATAAAACATTACAACTGAAACCAGAATTATTAATAAACCATTTTCCGGAAAATAAACTTCTGAATTAAAACCAGAATTATTAAATATAAACTTTTCCGGAAAAAACCTGAGAATAACCTTAAGTAAAACTCTAAACTTGTTCTATATTTCCAGGTTTACATTCCAACTTATATTTCTGTTTGTATGAGTTGGATTTCATTTTATTTGGGCAAAGATAACATTCCTTCGCGTACAATGATTGGAGTAAAATTAAAATAATTTTAAAAATAATCAAATTTATAGGTAAATTCTCTCCTTTCTTTAACTTATCAATTTGGATCTGTCGTTGCTAATTTACCAAAAACTAGTGATATTAAAGCTATTGATGTTATGATACTTATAGCTATGGGATTTATTTTTTCTTCACTTATTGAGTAATTTAAGAGACTTTTTAAAATTTTTTTATTTTTCCTTAGACTTGCCGTTGTTGGTTATTTAGTTAGTGCTCAAACAGAGAAGAAAGAAAAATTGTAAAATTAAAAAAAAATTTTTTTTTAATTAAAAAAAATAAAATTAAAGGCATAATTGTTGGTGGGGCTGTTTGTGTTGCCCAGAACTAACAGCCTCAAAAATTGATCAAGTAAACTTTCTTGGAAAATTTTCATAAAGTCTTCTTTCAAAATTTAGGTGTCCTTTATTCTCTTTCCTACATGCTTTGTCATTTTCAATATTTGGTACTGGTTTATTTTTATGGGGTAAATTTTAAAAATTACCTAAACATTTTTTATAATTAAAAAAAATTTTTCAATTTAGAAGACTTAGATGACAATAAAGAATGTTTTTGAATATACTACGGGTAAACATGAACCAAGATTTTCAACAATAGAATAATGAAAATTATTTATGCCGATAAAAAATACAAAAATAAAATCACATAAAAATTTTTAAGATTTTTAAATATTTGCATCGATATACTTATTATATTTTAAAATTGGGACACGCCCAAGTAACGGCGCAAAGCCATAATTTGCTGAAAATTTTCTGGCCCTTAACAATTTTGATGACAATCTCTTTAGCTCGATGAGAGGAATCGTTTAATACTAAATATAGTAGGATTCGGAAATCATGAAGCAAGTTATGGCTTTGCGCCGTTATGGCCTCGCGCGGGATGTACCCTTTGAAATTAAAAAGTTCATTTTTCACGCGTCTGAAGGGCATGCCACCGGACAACCTAAAAAAAATTAGTTAAAAATTAATTTTAAATCTTATTTTTAATATTACCGGTCTCCGAGTAAGCATCATTTCAGTCCAATGTTCTTGAGCAGCGAGAACAACTTGAGGGTTTTGTAAATTTATAGAAGATAGAATAACCTTAAATTTAATTTTAAAAATTTCCAAAATTTATTTTAAAAATTTTACTTCTCCAATAAAATCGTTTTTGCTCATTTTGTCATAATCCCACACAGATATACACAAATGGACTCGCTAAAATTATTTTTAAAATTAATTAAAAAAATATTTTTTTATTTTTTAACCTCCATTTTGTCAGCAGAAACTTTAAATTGAAAGCTTTCATTATAACTTTAAATTTAAATTTTTGTTAAATTTATTTATTTATTCCTTTCTTACTATGGATTCAATGTTTTAAATTTTATTGCCGTTTTCTTCTTCGCCCACAATTTTTTGCCTTCATAGAGATAGATTTTTACATAGGGATCTGAATTATAAATATTTGTATGGGTATATAAGCAATCATGAATGGGGGTCTTTCCGGAAATTACTACAATTGTAAATTACCGTATAACCTGTATTAATTGCCCTCCCTCAAATACTCCACTTCAATTAATTACCCCATACAGCAATAAATCGTAATTACCCTCCAATAAATGCCCTAAAACACGTTTAAATTTCAAACCATGTATAGTTACCCTCCCTCGATTAATTCTCTCTTCGGCGGAAAGTCGAAACTATATTACCCAAGGTAGTTATTAAAGGATATACGGTACTCATGTTTTTATTTCAACTATCCGTCACTATCTTCGAGTTTATTTTTTTATATTCCGGAAAATTAATATACATTACAACAGTTTTACCATTTTTCCCGGTAGCCTTACTAATTGTAATTACAAATAAGTTTACAATTCAGATATTCTGGTAACACTTGTAAAATTATTGTAAAATTATTTCTTTCTCTACCTGAAGAACCGCTAACATCCATTTTCTTAAGATTTCTAGCTTCCATTATTGTAACTGTTAGTGTTCCTGTTGCTAAGAAAATGTAGGAAATAATTTTTAAATTAATTTAATATCATTACCTGGTCTATAACGTGTTGAGAAACAAATATCACCTCGGGATTCCTTAAATTTTAAATAAAATTACAAAAAATCAAATTTTCTAAACCGATTCTTCAATTTCATGTGGAGCCTCAAAATTGATCCATCTATCGTTTGTTTGGCCAAAATCAACTGTGTTTAATGGCAATAAAATTTGACCAATTCTACAAAGTTTTAAATTTTAGGTTGATAATTGTAAAAATTTACAATTTAAAAATATTCCGGAAAGTTGTTACAATTAAATCTTTTCCGGAAGGTTGAGGTTTTTGATTCATACACTTTTCCGGAAACATTTTAATTTACTCCGGAAAAAATATTCCGAAAAGTTTTACAATAATAATCTCTTTACAATTTTTCTTTTACAATTTTTCCGGAAAACATTTTACAATTTAATTTTATTCTCTACTCTAAAAAACAAGCTTACTGGTCATCTTTAGAAAGGCGATCAAAATCAAACGCAACAAGTTCTAAAGTTTTGCGGCCGAGTTCAGGGAAAGGGATCTATCAAAATTTAAATAAAAATAAATATCAGCTTAAGATTCCTCACTTTAAAAACAAATGTTTCATTAAAGACCGGATTCAAACTATTTCTCTTTATTCGTGTCTCAAATTTGGGCTTTCGTTCTGGCGATATAGTCAATTTTATATATGGATCGCTCATTCCATTTCTATCCATAGCTGGTAAATCTCTACACTCTAGAATAGTCACAGATAACTAAAATTTATTTTTGTGAGTTTGTGAATTTTGAATAAATCTTCCGGAAAAAATTTTTCCAGTAATTCTATATTACTTTTACAATTTGTAATTTATTGTTTTATGTACTGTTTATAATAATTTTTCCGGAAAAAGTTTACAATTGATATTCCGGAAATTTTATAATTTTTACAATTTGTTTCAAGTTTATTATTTTTCCGGAAATATTTACAATCATTTATAAAGTTTTACAATTCGCTTATTTTTTCCGGAAAGTTTTAGAATAGTCAGTTTTAACAATTTACAAATTGTAATCTTTTCCGGAAAATTTTAATCTTTTCTAGAAAGCTTCCGGAGAGTTATGATTTTTTCCGGAAAGTATTTGTAATTTAAAAGCTTTTAAGCTTACTTTACTAGAAGTGAAATCATAATCAAGTTTTAAGTGCAAACTTCCATAAGAATCGGGTGTTAATCTACTAAATAATATAAAAGATTTTTAGCAGATTTTTGGTAATAATTAATTTTACTTTTCACAATTATTTGTTCCGTCATCTGTATTTGTTACTCTACTGCTTAATGTACTACTCGCTGTTGAAATTTGATGTGAAAAGTATTTATTAGGCGTTGATGTTGTTGACTTATCTCCAAGGGAATCCCTTGTTTTTGTTGGTTTATAAAATCCATTTGTTTTTGCGGAACAAGAAATAAACTTTAAAATATTTATTTGTAGAGTGTTTTTAGGAAATTGTAATCTTTTTACAAATTGTAATTTTTCTAGCAAGTTTTTACAACTTTCCGGAAGGTCTTTAAATAATATTTTTGTAATTGAAAGTTACAAATTGTAATAATTTATTCCGGAGAGTTTTAATAATTTACAAATTGTAATGATTTCTTCCGTAAAGTTTTAATAATTTACAAATTGTAATTTTTCCGCAAAGTTTTAATTATTTACAAATTGTAATTTTTCCGCAAAGTTTTAATTATTTACAAATTGTAGTTTTTTCCGGAAAGTTTATCAATTTATAAATTGTAATATATTTTCCGTAAACTTTTAATAATTTACAAATTGTAATATATTTTCCGTAAAGTTTTAATAATTTACAAATTGTAATATATTTTTCGGAAAGTTTTAATAATTTACAAATTGTAATATATTTTCCGTAAAGTTTTAATAATTTACAAATTGTAATATATTTTCCGTAAAGTTTTAATAATTTACAAATTGTAATATATTTTCCGTAAAGTTTTAATAATTTACAAATTGTAATATATTTTCCGCAAAGTTTTAATTATTTACAAATTGTAGTTTTTTCCGGAAAGTTATAAAAATTTATAAATTGTAATTTTTCCGGAAAGTTTTAATTATTTACAAATTGTAATATATTTTCCGTAAAGTTTTAATAATTTACAAATTGTAATATATTTTTCGGAAAGTTTTAATAATTTACAAATTGTAATATATTTTCCGTAAAGTTTTAATTATTTACAAATTGTAGTTTTTTCCGGAAAGTTTATCAATTTATAAATTGTAATATATTTTCCGTAAACTTTTAATAATTTACAAATTGTAATATATTTTCCGTAAAGTTTTAATAATTTACAAATTGTAATATATTTTTCGGAAAGTTTTAATAATTTACAAATTGTAATATATTTTCCGTAAAGTTTTAATAATTTACAAATTGTAATATATTTTCCGTAAAGTTTTAATAATTTACAAATTGTAATATATTTTCCGTAAAGTTTTAATAATTTACAAATTGTAATATATTTTCCGTAAAGTTTTAATAATTTACAAATTGTAATATATTTTTCGGAAAGTTTTAATAATTTACAAATTGTAATATATTTTCCGTAAAGTTTTAATAATTTACAAATTGTAATATATTTTCCGGAAAGTTTTAATTATTTACAAATTGTAATATATTTTCCGGAAAGTTTTAATAATTTACAAATTGTAATATATTTTCCGGAAACTTTTAATTATTTACAAATTGTAATCTTTTCCGGAAAGTTTTAATAATTTACAAATTGTAATCTTTTCCGGAAAGTTTTAATAATTTACAAATTGTAATATATTTTCCGGAAACTTTTAATTATTTACAAATTGTAATATATTTTCCGGAAAGTTATAATAATAAGAATTTAATTTTTACACCGCAATTTACAAATTGTAATTTTACCTCATCCCTGTAAAAATCAGAATGATCTCCACTGTTGGTAGAAGGGAAAGGGAGGCAGATGCGAAAAACTCGCAATACAGAATTACAATTGCTTGTAATAAATCTTCCACTAATTCCGGAAGAGCCTGCTACTGCACCGAACATTTTATATTAAATAAATTTGACTTAAAAGAATTTTTAAAGTTTAAAAAAAAATTTTTTATTAAATTACAATTTTAGTTAAAAGATTTAAGAACGTATTTAAATACCCGTAAAATCCAAAAATAAAAATAAAAAATCGTTTTTTAACCTTAAAAGCTTCAGCAAAGGTTACTTTTCGTGACTTTTTTTCTTTATTCTTTGGCACGTTTATGTGTTAAAATAAGCAAATTTAGGGGAAAATAAGTGCTTTTAGTGCTTAAAAGAATAAAAGGGGGAAATATATCTTTGACGCAAGAATTGAGAATTTTTTGGAATTTATATTTTAGAATTAATGGAATATGTGCATATTTATAGAATTTGTGTTTAAAATTAAAAACACGCAAGTCTGGTGCTTTGACATAAATACTAATATATTCAATAATTAGTAAGTACAATCAAAGGTGGATCGGAAATTCTGAAGGGATCATGAATCGAAAATCAAGGGTTCCTTCTCGAGGGAGAAGGTTCAGTCTCTCTCTCTCACTTGTTTTGAGATAAATCCTGTTTACGAGTCATGGTCTTTAGAAGGGTTTCCGGCCCGTTTCGGTTCGAAGGATCAATTTTTGACTCGAAAAAGACTCCTCGACCGGTCCGGCCCGATAAAAATAAGGCCCGAAACCCTAGTCTTTAAGATTGGTACGAAAATAATATTCTTCCTTGTTTTTTACCTTTAACTCAAAAAATTTTCATTAATAAAATACCTAATCTGATTTATATCCTTAATTAAAAAATAAATTTTTTTTCTAACAAATACAACCTTTAATGAAAAAATTTTATAAAATTATTCCTCCAATTTATATCCACATTTTTTAATTAAACAAGTAGGCGGGATTTTATTTTCTTGTCAATCCCACAACATTCAAAACTAACAAATATGTGTTAAAAAATACAATAGTTCATTAATTAAAACGGGAAACTAAATTTTTATTTTGAAAGTACATTGGAGATTTTTTTTATTCTAATTTTAGAGGTGTTTTCACAATTTTTTTTTGGAAGATTTAGGGATTCTAAGGGTTTTTTAAAAAAATTTTAAAAATTAAAAATAAATATAGTTACAAATAAATAACTGTTTTAATGTGCTTTTCTCTCTTTTTTCAGAAAAAACGAACAAATAAAACATTAACTCAATAAACAAATAAATTCCCCCCTAGTAACTCAACGAGCACCCCCACAATTATTTATGGGGGTGCTCTCGTTGCATACGAGCTTTTTGGCCGCTCGAGAAATTGAATATCCATTTTTGGCATTGAAAGAGGGAAAAGCAAAAAAGAAGCATTGAAAATCGAATTTTGTGGAATCACACCACAAAAATGAGTAAATAAAAAAATTTATTTTTTATTTAAGGAAAAGGTAGGGAAAAAAGAACAAATAAATATAAAATTACACACATTATATATTCGTCTAATTAAAAAAAATAAATTTATTTCCTTAATTTTTTTCCTTAATTTTTTTAATAAATTACAAACAATAGAAAATAAATAAAAGAATTGCATGACAAAATTTAATAAAAATGAAACTTGGGGGTTTTTCCCTTTTTTCCCTTTTTTGGGACAAATTAATAAGATTTTCTAATTATTGGAGCGAAACTTGACCTAATCGGAATGTTCCAAAATTGTATACCTTTATATGCCTTTTTTTGGATTTTTAATCTCTGGGGGATTATAAATATTAATTCTAATAAAATCTTTTTTTTGTTGCGTGAAATAAAATATTTTTTAAATTAAAATTAAGAAAAAAAAATATTTAAAGATATTCTTGAGAGAATTAAAAATTTTAAAATATTATTTATAATCTTCTTTACTTTCCTAAAGTAGTAAAAATCCATTAATTTTAAAATTTGGAAAGGCTTAAAATAAGTTTTAAACAAATTTGTAATTAAGTTTTGTGTGACATTTAAAAAAGAAGTTATGTAATGTTGCTTATTGTAATTAGAGATATATTGTAATCGGAAAGTAAAAATTGTAATTTTTACTTTCCGGATAATTACAAGCTTAAATCAATTACAATTAAAAAGAAGCCTACGCAAGTAAAAAACAGGAGAATTTTCCTGGATAAAAATCGAAGTTTGCAGAAATATACAAAATAAATATACAACTTTCCAGAAAACTTATAAGTAACTATGCTCATAGTTATATATTTTCCGGAAAAAATAATTAATCAATATAGTTTCGGGATTAGGTATAGTTTCCGGAAAACGTATAATTTCCGGAAAAAGTATAGTTTCCGGAATAAAAAGTTTCCGGAATAATTATATTTTAGTATATTTCCGGAATAAGAATAGTTTCCGGAAAAAATAATTACAGATTCCGGAATACGTATATTTTCTTTAAAAAAATAAGTATGGGGTTCAGAAAATAAATATATTTCCGGAAAAAGTATAATTTCCGGAAAATTAAATTCAATAAGTGCTTACAGAGAAAATATTTCCGGAAAATAAAAACAAGTTTTTGTTAATAGATTTTTAAAATATTAGCTATAAGAAATAAATCTATTAAAGAATAAATTTTTTCAAAATACATTTTAAAATTAAATTAAGTTGGTATTTCAAAAAAATCTTAAAATGTTTAATATTATTATTAAATTATTTATGTAAGCGAACAAAAGTATTTAAAGGTGTGATCTTTCCAAAAATAGAAAAATGGGATTGGATAAATTTAAAAAAAAATTTTATTTTTAATTTATTTTATTTACAATTATTTAAACAAAAAATTAACAATTCTCTAAAAATATTAAATATTCTATAAAAAACAGGTCGTGAGAACAAAGAAGATTTTTTGATACATTTAATGACTGGGAAAAGGAAATTGCCCGTCTGGCAGAATAAAAATGTTAATTAAGTAATAACGAATAAATTGAAAAAATATTAAGGGCTTCATTTTATAATTATTTTAATAAATTGCAAAAATAAAGGAAATATATTGAGGATTAATTTATTAATATATCCATTAATTTTGGTTAATTCGTCACTTTTTAATAGCCACTAGATTAGCTCATCCTACGCTTTTTCCCTTAAAAAACTAAAATTTGGAGGTATCACAAGCTTTCTAATTTAAAATATCTTCGCTCTTTTGGGAAGAAAAAGTGCACAAAATTCAAAGAATTTTTTTAATTTTTATTTGACGTAAACAAATTAATAATTCCATTCTTCTCAAGCTTTCCTTGTTTTATGTAAATTATTTAGAACGTGAAAGAAATTTTGTCTGAGTAAATATTTGCGATATTGAGAGTAAACAATGGAAGTTGAACATATAAATTTATTAAACTTTAAGGAATTTGTAAAATCTCAGGAAAATAGTTTACAATTGTAAAGTATTTGTAGAGAACATTTTGCAGATATTCTAGAATTAATAATTCCTGAACAACGGAAAAGTTGCAAGAAGAATAATAGAAAATTTACAATTGTAAAATAATTTCCAGAAACTTTATTAATAGTAAAGTTTTCCGGAAGGTTTATTTTAATTATAAAGTAATTTCCGGATTTTAATTGTAAAATGTTTTCCGGAAACTTTACAAATTTTAAAATGTTTCCGGAAGTTTTACAAATTGTAAAATAACTTCCGGAAAATTTATTAATTGCAAAACATTTTCCGGAAAGTTTATAGATTTTAAAATATTTTCCGGAAACATTACAAATTGTCGTTTCCGGAAACTTTTATTTGTAAAATATTTTCCGGAAATTTTATTTGAATTGTAAAATATTTCCGGAAAGTTTATAATTTGTAAAAAGTTTTCCGGAAAGTTTATAAATTATAAAAGATTTTCTTAGTTTATAAATTGTAAAAAATTTTCTGGAAAGCTTGCAAATTTAAAATAATTTCCAGAAGGTTCATAAATTGTAAAATACTTTCCGGAGAGTTTATAAATTGTAAAAAGTTTTCTGGAAATTTCACAAATTGTAAAATTAATTCATTAATAAATAAAAAGCAAAAGAAAAAGAAAAAAGTTAATTAAATATTTTATTTCCAAAAAATATATGTAAAGCCTGCTTAAAAATTCTAAGCAAAAAATAAACAATAGAAACACAAAGCTAGTGTATTGTCTCTATTTTTCTTGTCCTTAATGCAGTTAGAAAATATTAACATTTACGTAATAAAAAATTTTTTTCTTTAAAATGGGTAGGGTGATGTTGAAAAATTAATTTTTTTAAATGCAAGTAAAAGGAAAGGAACAAATTTTAGTTAAAAAATTTTAAAGTCTTATTATCTAGAAAATATTAAATAATATAATACCTACAGGGTTGTGCCGAAAGTGATTTAAAAAAACGTAAGACGAAAGGCGAAAAACTTAAAAAATGAAAATCGACGAAAAACCGGAAATGGCAACACCTAATACCTAAATTCCCAAAGGAAATTTTTTAGAAAATAATAACACAAAAAATTATGAATTATTAGAAGTTTTAATTAATTAAAAAACTAAGAAAAAATATCAAACAAAAAAAAATTTTTTCAATTTTTACCAACAGAAATCTGGAACTTTATAAATATTTTGTAAAAAATAAACATAATAGCTCTATAATTTGTTTTTGTTTTTTCCTTCAAATTTTTGTTTTCATTCATTTAATGGTTGATTGAAAAATAAAGTGGGGGTTTTTTTTGTTATTTTTTCCTATATATTATTTTTAAGGATGTTTTTAAAAAATACTAAACTAGTTAGAAAATGTAAAAATTGAAGAAAAAAAAACAAAAATTGGAACAAAATGGAAGGGGAAAAATGAAAAAAAAAATGTTAAAAGAGGAAAAAGTACACACACATTTGTGGTGGTTGGCAGGCATCCTCCTCCACCTCCTCATTCTCTTCTTCTTTTACTTCTTCACATTTTGGCTTTCATGATTAAATTTTTATGTTCATTTTTTACAGGAGACACCCAAAAAAAACTTGAAAAATTAGGAACATGGAAAAAATGAAAAATAAAAAAATTATTCGAATTTTGTGGGGAATAACTAGAAAAAAAATTATTTAAGGAGGCAACTTTAAAATTAAAAATTAAAAAAATATTTTTATTTTGATCCGTTTTAAGGAAAATTTTTAGAGGAAAAAATTCAAAATAACCATAAATTTTATTAGGTATTTTTTTATTAAATAAACAATTGATGAATCAAACAAAAAAAATAATCAAACAACTCGTTGATGGGAACAAATATGTACTTATATCTAATATTGATAATTATTTTGAATACCTATATTATTTGAGAAAAATTTTTTTAATTGATATTCAGTAAATAATAAATTAGTAGAATTTTGAAGAGGGTCCAATAAAAAAAATAAAAGAAGCAGAAAATTTAAAATTTTAAGATACCCAAAAAAAATCAAGGACTGCCATATAATTGACAGAAAAAAAAGTCGAAAATCAGTAAACGCAATTTTTAAATTAAAAGAGAATTGGAATAATAATATTAAAATTAATCTTTTAAACAATTTCAATTTTTTAATAATAAAAATAATTTAAATTTTTATAATATGGGAATTTTAAAATTTTCAAGCCTTTTTTTCTTAAAATAAATTAAAAAGCTGTTTTATATTTTTATTTTCTATTTTCCTCCCTTCTTTTTACTCAAACTTTTCCTCTTTTTCAAAGCTTCTTCTTCATCAGCCTTATTTTTCTTCCTCCTTTCCTCATATGCTTCTAATTCTTGGTCAACCAAATATTCAAATTTTTGAGGATTACAACGCCAAGTATTAAACTCGCTAAAATATTGAACAAAATAAATAAAAAAATTTTTACAAAAATATTTTTTCGGAAAGTTTAAACAAATTAGAAGAAAATATAAACCTTTTCCGGAATAAAAAGAAATATGTATATGCTTCCGGAAATTTTATAGAATATATTTAATGACAAAAAAATATAAACAACTTTCCGGAAAGTTTATAAAATTGCAAGGAAAATTAAATTTTCCGGAAAGAAAATAGAATATTAAGTTTCCGGAAGGATATATATACTTATCCAAAATAATTTTTCCGGAATAGAAATATATTTCCGGAAAACTTTATAACCATACTGGCTCTACATTTTTCCGGAATTTATAAAATCATCTTTCCGGAATAGAAAATAGAAGTTTCCGGAAACTTATTAAAGTAATATAAAACCTTTCCGGAAGACTTATAGCTATACTCGTAATTATACATTTTCCGGAAAAAATAATAAATTTAAATAAAAATAATTGTATACCTGCATTCAGTCATTAATGACGGGTCAGAAAATTTTGTATCCTCCAAAAATGGAATTGGAGGGAAAATATAATCAACAGTGTCGATAGCCATGCTCACATAATCGGAGACATAACCAATTTTATCTGCACGCCGAAGCATTCCAGAAGGGTCAATAATTAAAATTCGTTCCAAAGGAATATCTACTGCTTTATACGATTTTACGTCCTTTAAAAAAAATTTTTTTCCAAAAAAAAATTTTTTAATAAAAAGAAACCGTTTCACGATTTCCAAATCCAGCAAAAAAAGGTCTATCAACGGGGAAAAGTGATTTCAAGTCATTTAAACAAGCAATTTTAAATTCTTCTGGTCGACGTTCAATTACCTCTCTTTAGAAAAAAAGTTTTTAATTCAAAAATAAATTTTAAAAATTCCAAACTTTTTAAATGCCATCAAAACAGAAGTTGGTGAAAGCAAAACAGGACCATCTGGAAGTGTTTGAGATCCTTGAGCAATACTTTGAAGATATGTTTTTGTGTAATGAGATTGGCCGATAGCACGAGATGAGAGGTAAACCATTTGATAACTAAAAAAGAAAAAACATTTTTTTTTGATTCCACAGGAAATTTTAGTCAAAAAAATTAAATAATTTTTTCCAGAAAACATAAAAAAATTTTGAAAAAAATAACAAAAAAATTTTTTCTAAAAAAATTTTCCAAAAAAAAATTTTAAAAACAATAAGGTTCACAAAAAAGACTACTAACCCATTGTTTTTAATTCTTGTATAAAGTTCCGCAACACCAGAATGTGCCCAAGTTCCCCCAATTGCAGGTATTACATGGCCGAGAACGTCACTTTTGGTTATTGTTCCATCAATATCAGAAATTACCAATTTATCACACCAACGAAGTAAATAAATGTGACAACTACACCAAGCAGTTCCCTTTAAAAGAATAAAAAATTATAGAAAAGACAAGTGGTTCATTCAGTAACCGCTACTTATGTGAGAACATGCCAAAAAAATCTCAAAAAAAACCCCCAAAATCCTAACGAAAAATCATGACTAATTTCAATAGAAAAAACAAAAATTTCAAATTAGAAAATAAACCTGGAATTTAGTTGTTATACTAAATCTAGCATCATTTGAACCATACTCCAAATTTAACAGTTTCAATTGATCACTAGACAACCTCAACGAACGTTTGTATTTTTTAGAAGCCGCGGATATTAAATGTTCTGCTGTAGTAGCAACAAATTCTTCATCGCTGAGATTTCTTTAAAAAAATTTTTTAAATTAATTTATGGATGTGGAGAGGTTCCCAGGGTCCCCCCAGAATCCTCATAACCGAAAATTGGAAGAGGGCTCCAATAAAAATATTTAAAATGAATACAAATCAGTAGCACAAGAAGCATCAGAATTTCCACTATCAAATCGACTTCTCGATGTTGGTACATTTTTAGATTTTTCCAAAGTTGAAGGGGAGGAAATTGAGGTTGCTGGAGTTGCTCCAATATTGTTTTCTGCAGTGACAGTCTGAAAAATGAAAGGGATTTTATTTAAAAAATAATTTTGAAAACTAATTGAAGCGTATTCAATGATAATAAAAAACTTTGAAATTAGAAAAAAACTGACCGGGAAATAAAATTACAAAAAACATAGGAACTTTTGATCAAAAGAAACATAAAGTTTGGTTCCAGGCCGCTCAAAAGCTTAGAAAATGGACTTTAAACCAAGAGCGTAGCCGGGGAGCTTCTGGGGAATCCCATTCCAACCAGCATTCACAAAATGGTTCTAAGCCAAGCAAGGGCGTAGACACAAGGTCGGTTTCAGGGGGCCCTCTAGCTATGCCCTTGAAGCAGAGGCGTAGCTAGGTGGGCTTCTGGGAAATCCCATTCCAAAATGAATCCCATTCCAACCAGGGATTTACTTTGTAGAGGACAAATCCCATTCTCCCACTAAATCCTATTCCTACTTCTCCCCAATCAAATAAAATTTTTTTAAAAAATTCAAAAAAAAAATAACCAAATTTTCCAAAGAATGTGCTTGACTATTATTCGTTGGTTGCTTATTTATTCCATCAACCACAATTCCTGTTAATGTGGCTGTATCATTATCATCATTTATACTCATAGCAGAAGAAGGACTTGTACCAAGAGAAACACCTTTTCCACTATCAAAATTTGAAGCATTTGAAGAAATACTTTGAAAAAAAAAATTTTTAATGATTTAAAAATTGGGGGAAAATCAGCAAAAAGCAGAACGGGAAAAGGAAAAATTCATTGAGGAAAAATTTTTAAAATTTTTTTTAAAAAAGCAGGGGTGTAAATAATTTTTTTTAATTTCCTACTCATCAAGATATTCACAACAACAATGCGAAAAATCAATGTCAAAAATAAAAGGAAAATCATCAACACAAAAATAGTCCAAACTGAGTCTCCCACCACTATTTTTTTTAATTTATAAAATATTTTAAAGAAAAAAAATACAAGTACTAATTGGAGTTATGTCCACAACATTTTCCCTTACCCTCAAAATTGCTACTATGTATTTACTTTTGGCATCTAATCAGGGGACGGTCGAGGGTATGAAGGTGCCGTCAATCGAAACAGTCGTAAGGGCGTAGCCAGAGGGGGAGGCTTCTGGGACTATAGCCCCCCTGAAATGTGAGCCAAAATTTTGGCGCACCCTCTGAAATCGATACCCTGGTTATGCCCTTTAACAGTCGTAAATCTGAATTCTGACATACCTCTGCATTTTAGAAAATAAAAATTGGTGGAGGAAGGAAAAATGCTTGGCATGAACCCCGAACTATTACCAAAATTAATTTAAAAAATTTAAAAAAGAAACCTCATTGCCCCACTTCTAGTTCCAAAATATTTTTCCAATTTTGCTGGGTCATTTCCCAAATCTTGAAGATAAAGTCCTTTTCCTTCTTGTTGTTTTTCTTCTTCTTTTTTATCATTCACAACTTCATTTTTGGTCAATTTATCCCCTCCATCACTAGCTTCTTCCCCTTCCTCTTGTTGTGGTTGTCGAGACCATCTAAACCAATTCCAACGCCCTTGTTTTTCATTTTTCTTGGTTGTGCTTCTGGAAGAGTCTTTAGTTTTTGAAGATTTTGGAATTTCACCCCATTTCCATTCTGGGTCATTCTGTGAAGAGAAAAAAAAATTTTCCGGAAAAATTTTTGGAAATTTTTCTTGAAAATTTTTAGAATTTTCTGAATTTTTCAGAAATTTTTTTTAATTTTCAAATAAAATTTTCTGAATTTTTTCAAGTTTTTTTCGAAGAAATTAACAGTTTTGGGTCATAAAAAATCCAAAAAATTATTTAACTAAAAAAATAACCATATCAGGAGAATTTCCTTGACGATCAACTTCGGGGTCTGAAAGGGCTCCATCTGCTATATCACTCCCAACATTTGAAGGTTTAAGCAAATTATTTTTTGAATTTTCCAAATTATTAGGGTCTTCCTCGTCATCATCTGAAGAACAAAAAAATGTTGTTTTTGTGGAAGATTCTGGAGAAATTGATTGTTTTGATTCCTCTTTTTGTTCATCTTGTAGAGAAATAGGAGAAATTGGTGAAGATTGTTGTTGTTCACTAGTTGACGAAGGAGACGATTTTTCAACTGGAGTCGAGTTTAAATCTGCGTCAGTGACCTTTAAAAATTTAAAATTAAAAATAGAGGATTTCTCAAGTCAATCAAGTAAAATTAGAATTTTAGAATGGGAATAGTGAACGTTAGGAGCTCTTTAACAATGGCACCAAACAATGGCAAGTTGATATAAATTCAAGAGGAGAGTTGTCCCTAAAGAACGTCCTGAATCTTCCATTGATTCGTCCTGGATCCAAAGTCAACAAGGCATTTTTCATCGTCCCATGATTTTTTCCACGACTCAAGATCAAGAATCTGGCAAGGTCCTCAACCAGGATCAAGGTTTTTTTTAATTTTCAAAGGCTCAAAGATATAGAACAGGGAAACTCAAAATCAAGAATCTGGCAAGGTCGCCAAAAAATCCATATTTTTTTAAATTCCCTATCTTTATAGTAGTTGTTTTCGATCTCTCAAAAATATGAAAGGGAAATGAAAATGGGGTACATAAATTCCTTTTTAAAATAACACCATCAACTTAAAAAAATTTTTTAAGGTCTCCTCCTCAAGTCAAAAAAAAAACAAAAAAACCTAATCAAATAAATTAAAGAAAATATACATTTTTGAGAGCAATTGAAGCAGATTTAGAATGATGAAACCCTCCTCCATTTACATTTTTGGAAACAACATTATTTTCATTAATTAATTTTTGCATATCAATGGCACCAAAAGTTGCTTTCCTTTAAAAATTATTTTAAAAATATTTTCTTTCAAAAAATTAAAAAAACCTTTTATGTTTACTCTTCTTTTTTCCATTTTCCCCTTCTCCAACAACCTGTACACGAGCAGAAACAATTTGTGAATTTATATCATTTTGGTTGTAATCGCTAGGTAAAATTGACAAATCTGGAAGTGAACGATTCTTTCTACACGAATAAATTGACAAGGAAAATGGAAGCATTTTTTTCTGTCTTTGTTGTTGAGGAGGTCTACTAAAAAAATTTTTGATAAATAAAAATAAAAGTAAATATGGCTTTTAACAGATCCCTCGAAAAATTGAAAAAGTGCTCTTTAGATATATTCGAGGATTGCCAGTCCAGGGATCGAAATGAACAAATTCTAAATTAATATTCGGATTACCAAGGAAACCTCAAAAATATCGAAAGATTCCCTGTGAATTAACTAAATTTTGCTAGGGACCAGTAAAAGCCACCTTTACTAAAAAATCAATAAAAACCTCTTCTGCAAAGGCAATTCATCGTCACTACTGCTTGAACCTTTACGAGGTCTAACAACAGCAGAATCCTTCCGAGGCGAGCGTTTAGAAGGTCTAGTTTGGTCAACAAGGCTTTTGCTTTCCTAAAAATAAAAATCAATAAAAGGATCGGAGATTTAATTAAAATTTATTATAGCTATAAATTAATTTCCTGACATTAAATAATTTCCGGAAAAAGAAAGAGGAAAAAATATAACTTAAGGAAGATTCCGGAAAAATTAATAAATTAACCGGAAATAAGTAAATGAAGTATTCTATTTAGTTTTCCGGAAAGTTGAATATTCATTTTTCCGAAAAACTTAACTCCTGCTTACTTATTTCCTGATAAAAAGTTTCCGGAAACCATAAGAGTAGAAAAATATATGAGGAGGGTTCCGGAAACAAATACATTCACTTTTCCGGAAAAACATCTATTTCCGGAAATTTATATCACATAAATATATACCGGAAGACAGTTAGCGAATTTTAGAGAGATGTGTGGTAGTGTTTCGCCGAAAGTTTCTGTTCCGGCTCGGAAGCAAAAAGATAGATCCAGTTCCGGCCAAATTTGCGGTTCCGGGGAAACACTAATGTGTAGCCTCCCGGAAAAGTCCCTTCACTAAATAAAAATTTTACCTTTGCTGAAGGCGTAAGTCTAGCAGCACCATCAGTTTCCTCAATATCATCAGGCAACGGACTCGTTTCCAAATGTGAAGGCAATTCTGTCTCCTCCTCAGACTTTTCCACAAAAAAAGCAACTCCATTCCCACCCAATTTCATTTTTAAATCAATTTCTTCATTATTTATTTGTATATCAACATACTAAAAAGTCAAAATTCTTAACAGAAAATACCCTCAAAAAACCTTATCGTCATAATTAAAAACTCCGTATTTTCCAAAGCGAACATGAAAAGGTGTTGACAACATTGTCCCGTCTGGTTGTTCAACAACTATAACATCTATTGCCCCTTTAAAAAGAATTTTTTTGGGTAAAATTCCGACATCTCCCCTTCTCCGATTCGGACAAACTATGCGACCTTCCAAAGAGCTCGACGAGCTGATGACCAAAATTAAGCAAGGGACTCAATGTGGACTGAGGGGAGCAGGCCAGTGTACTGCGAGCCCATTGTACCGACGAGCTATATCTTCGTTCAGAATTGTCGAATCCGGGAAGCACTGGTATGTTTGATGCGCCTCGAAGAGCTGAATCGGACCATATGAGGGCGTCCCGGATTCGAAAATTTTGAACGGAGTTATAGCGCGGCGGTACAATGGGCTCGCGGTACATCGGGGTGTACATGTGGACTGAGAGATTGGGTCAAGATAGAAGATGACATATCGGTTGTCCAAATCGGAGTATGGGAGACTAGACAGAAGCTCCCCAATTTTCTAATCAAAAAAATTTCTAAAAGAAACCAGAAAGTGTTGCTGAATTCATTGAATTGTAGAGATATTTGACGTTGTTAAAAATATAATAAACATAATTCATTTTGTGTAGATTTTAATTTTGTGTCAATTTTGCGAAACAAATAAAGAAAATTTTTAGCTTAAATTATTAAAAAATAAAATTGGAAAAAAAATTTTTGTGTAATAGGATGTTGAAATAAAATAAATAAAATCCCTCTTTTTCTCTAACCGTCTCTCTTCTTTTTGCACACTATTTCGATAAAGCGAAAAGTAAATCCTAAGCGGGACACGCCCAAAACGGCGCGCTGCCATAACGGCGCAGAGCCATAACTTGCTTCAAAATTTCCAAATTTTACCAAATTTAGTATCAAACGATTCCTCTCATCGAGCTAAGGAGATTGGAACCAAAATTGTTAAAGACCAGACATTCTCCAGCAAGTTATGGCTTTGCGCCGTTATGGCCGCGCGCCGTCTTGGGCTGTACCCATCCTAAGCTATTGAGTTTTAAATCCGCTTTGTGTTCACGATTTGACGTAAAAGATATGTTCTACAAGTAAGAAAAAAGAGAAGAAAATGCACAAAAAGATAGGAAAAAATTTTAGAAAGCAAAGAATATTTAGAAATAATTAATGAAAAATGGGAAATTTCCCTTTGGGGTTTCGGAGTCTCTCAAGTAAATATTTAAAAACAAAAAATTACCTAACAAATTAAAAATTAAAAATCAAAATAATTTTAAGGAAGTAACTGGGAAAGGTTATTTTATCATTTATAAACACCTCACACAAGTCCATTCTTCGGACTCTGCAACTTTTTTAACCCCCCCCCCTCATGACTATAATAAAAAATAAATGTTTATAGGAGAAAAGTGTGAACACAACAAAAAAAAGATAAATAAAATAAAAATGCGCTGACTTTTAACCGACAAAGGTTCCCTTCTCTCAAGGTCTTGTATGTTTGTTTGGAAAGTATGGGCTGACAAAAAATTTTTTTGAGTGCCTTTGATATAAAAAACTTTTGATAAAAAACTGTGTTTAGTCAGGAGTCTAGCAGAATATTTGTGAGTGATTTATTATGAAAATGGTGACAAAAAGAGAATGATACTACATACCAAAAATCAAAGAATCAACAAAAACAATTAAGCATGATTATTTAAAAACACCAATTTAAAGTGAAGGAGTAAAGGGTTAATAAAAATCAGAATTATCATTAGAAAAATACAAATCAGAATTAAAAATAATTACAATACAAAATAATTCTGAAAATAAATCAGAATTATTATTACATATCTAAAATACAAATTCTGATTTTTCTGATTTGTAATTTTTCAAATCAGAATTTGTAATTTAAATATGTTAAAATACAAATTCTGATTTAAAATACAAATCAGAATTTATTAAAGAAATACAAACCAGAATTTGTAAAGAAATACAAATCAGAATTTGTAATTAAAAAAATACAAATCAGAATTTATTGAAGAAATACAAACCAGAATTTGTAAAGAAATACAAATCAGAATTATTTTAAAAAATACAAACCAGAATTATTTTAAAAAATACAAACCAGAACTTTTTAAAGAAACACAAACCAGAATTTATTAGAGAAGTACAAACCAGAATTTATTCAAGAAATACAAATCAGAATTTGTAAAAAATATAAACCAGAATTTATTCAAGAAATACAAATCAGAATTTGTAAAAAATATAAACCAGAATTTATTAAAGAAATACAAACCAGAATTTATTTAAGAAATACAAATCAGAATTATTATTTCTTATTTTAAAATACAAATTCTGATTTAAAAATACAAACCAGAATTCTGATTTTCTAAAGTACATGTAGAACTTAAAATTAATTGTTTACCTAAGTTTTATCAGAGTAATTAATATTTATAAGGCCGTCGATGTTTCCTCACAGCCCAGTTGATAAAGCAAAAATAAAAACTAGAGCATTCTTTCCTCCCAAAAATATATTTAGAGGAGATCAAAGAATCGAGCAATTAATTTTAAATTTACCCAATTTTAAAGAAAAAAATATTTCAAAAGAGGAAACCCATTAAAGTTGAATGTATCTTTTAACTAAAATAAAAATAAATTTAGAAAATGAAAAGAATTTAGAGGATAAAAATAAATGTATGAGAAGACCATGTGGTCTTTTCTTCCGATTAAAATACTTTGGATTTTAAAAAAATTAGGGAAAAAAATTTTTTTGAATTGGAAAAGAATATACTAAAGAACCGAACTTAAAGAAGTGTCGAAATCGAGTATACAGAAAAGCCCTCGATATGATTTTTAAAAGGGATCTCGAGTTGGTCCCGAGAGGAAGGAAGTTACTTTGCTCGAGAACCTTTCAAACTTACTAATTTTTTGTTTAATCAATTCTTATTTATCTAATTTCATTATTCACCAATTTAAAGTGTGATAATTATTTGTATACTATTTTAACACTTCTTCGATTATTCACTTCAATTTACTAAGTATTTTATCAATTTTAAACTAAAATTCTAACCTTTAAGTTATAAAATCGACTGACGTTGTTATAAATCAGAATTTACAAATCAGAATATTTATTTAATTCTAATTTGTAAAAAATTCTGATTTGAAAGAAATTCTGATTTTAAACATCAGAATAAATGTATTTTCAAATTAAAAAATCAGAATTTATAAAATCAGAATTTAGAAATCAGAAGATTTATTTAATTCTAATTTGTAAAATAATTCTGATTTTTAAAAAATTCTGATTTTTAAAAATCAGAATATGTGTATTTTCAATTTGTAAAATCAGAATTTATAAAATCAAAATTTAAAAATCAGAATTTAAAAAATACATTCTGATTTGTAAATTCCAGTTTTATAAATTGAAAATGATATTCTGGTTTGCAAATCAGAATTATCTTTTACAAATCATCAGAATTATTTTTACAATATGTAAATGATACAAATCAGAATATTTGTATTTTCAATTCTTCTGATTTGTATCTGGTTCTCTCTTTTTAATTCTGATTGTATTTTTATATTTACTTTTCTTTAAAATTCTGATTTTTTAATTATTTTTTGTTCTGATTTTTAACAACACATATTATAATTGTATGTTGGAAAGCTTTTATAGCTTTAATTTTCTTTCCCCTCATTTTATTCAGAATAAAAATCGGAAGGTGTTTATGAGGTCATCCTCATTCATTTTTGAGGTGTGTACTTTTAAAAATAAAATAAATATATTTTCTCGTTGGGCGCAATTTTAATTTTAGGGCTGTTTTTAAACTCCTCGATTCATGCGAAAAAAGAGGCGAAGATGTGACGATTATTATTATTTTTTGATTGTGACGGAAATAAATAAAAATAATTTATAGTAAATAATCCTAAGGAAAATTTTTGACTTTTCAATTGAAAAATAAAGCAAAAAATTATTTCAAAAAATTTTTGAGATAATTTTTTGGCAATATTTGCGAAGGATTGCGCGTCTTCCTTTAGAGACTTAATCTCTCAATAAAATTATTAATTTTCATATGGGCAAAAAAAATTGTTTTTTTTTCTAGAAATTTATTTTCCTAAAATATTTTTTTGTAAACGTTCCTTAATCTAAAAATATTTTTTTATTATTTTTTCAATTGATCTAAACTGCCTCATGCCTTTATTTAATCGCTTCAACGATTCCTTCCTTATTTCTTTATTTCCCTCATAAAACCAGGGATTTAACCAAAAATAAAAATCCCTTTATTCTTTATTTTATTGACGATAAACAACAATAACAAAAGTGTTCTTTTAAAACGTTTAAAAAATCCGCAAATGATTTTTGCGGATTTATGAAATTTTTTGCGGATTTCTGCAAATTTTCCAAAATCCGCAAATTATTTGCATTTTTCGGCAAACGATTTTTGCGGATTTCTGCAATTTCTAAATCCGCAAATTTTTTGCAGACTTCTGCAAATTTTCTAAAATCCGCAAATAAAAACAAAATTTATTGTTGATCTTTTGAGTTTTACTAAAATGTACTTTTCATACCTGTATATCCTCATTTACATTTTTTAATTGCCCTGCTTGTTCTTTTTTTTGCTTTCAAAAAAATTACCGGATTTTAGAGGATTATTGTCATGTGAAAGGGTAATTTAGATTTTGAATTAGCGTTTTTCCTCTTTTTTGTTTTGATCTGTCTCAAAGGGGAACTAGACAAAAGTTTTTTTTTATTTTCTGCATTTATTTTAATTTCCAGGAAAATTCGCAATTAACTTTATTAAACCAGAAATTCCCCTATTTTATGAGGGGAAAACTCTATTGCTTGGAAGGGTAGTTGAACAATAGTAGTTGAACCCCCCATGCAAAAATCGCGGCTGATCTATCACCAGCCCTACAGTCTGAGCACACTATAAAATACATTCAAGACCAGATACACCTCCATTTAAAATACCTCGTTTTTAAAATTTTGTTGGTCACTTGATGGAGATGTCTTAGCAGTACACCCTATTTAATATCATAAATCCACTTAACACTCTCCCACCTTTTTCAGTTTAATTTTACTTAAAATTGTGTAATTAACTAATGACCCAATCAACACAAAAGACTATTGGAAGCATTCAAACAATCATTCTCTATCGAAAAAGGCCTTGTAGAGAACAAAATTTTAGCAAATGGAAAAAACAAAAACGCAGCTTTTCTCCTTGCCTAGGATTTTCTGTTGTTGGAGGTGTGGATTCGCCTAGAGGGCCGATGGGGATTTTTGTTAAGACAATATTTCCTAATGGATTAGCTGCGAGAAGTGGACTTTTGAGGACGGGTGGGTGATAAATTATTTTAAAATTTTGGATAATATTTGCGGATTAATCCGCAAAATTTTTCGTTTGTCCGCAAATTTTTTGCGGACAAAATTTTTTATCCGCAAACTTAACGCAATTATAAAGGTGATGAACTTCTCAGTGTTTGCGGTATTCCTCTACAAGGAATGACTCAAGCAGAATCTCTGCAAGTTTTTCACAACACCACAAAGTGTACAGAAGTTATATTATGCATAAGAAGATCATACCTCCCTTTCAATAAATTTAACAAATTTAACAACACAAAATTTGTTAATGACTTAACAAAATTTAATCAGGCATTTTTGGCGGATAATAATATAGAGGGAGTGGATTTGAGAGAAGGGAGAGGTTCTTTAAAACGACAAATATCAACTAGTGCTAGGAGCGATAAAGTAAGAGGCTTCTCCCTTATAATAGCCTACAATTAGAGAGTACTAAAACCTAGAGAATAGATGTTCTCTTATTTTTAAAGTCCTTTCTAAACTCGAAAAGTGGTCTCTGAAACTTTGTCGGATTATTTTTATTTTTAATCAGAGAATAGAAAAACATACATACATATTTTTTAAGACGGCAACTTTTCTTATTAAACTTCTCAATGAGAAAAAAGGAGAATAAAAATATCCAATGCCACTTTTAATTTCTAATAAGTTAAAATTATAAGGGAAATATTTTTAAAAAAAAATTTTAATTTGTCCATTAATGACCATTTCCCTACTAAAAACAGAAAATTAAGCTTTTTATTTTTTGCTTGAACAGCTGCTGGGCAGTAATCGAAAATAAGGGATAAAAAGTGGACATATTTACTCAATCAAGTTTACACTCACAATCATTACTTAAATTAAGCTATTCTTTTTATAAATATAGTATATATTTTACAGATCAATTCTGGTTTTTATAATTTATTTAAATCAGAATTTTTTGGTTTAATTACAACCAGAATAATCTTTAGTTGTTTAAGAATATTTTTTAAACTTTAAAACAGAATTAATACACATCAGAATTTATTTCTATGTAGTTGTTTAAGTCTTGTATATAACTTTTCCGGAAAATATTATACTTACTTTTCCGGAATTTTTATATTTAATTTTTCCGGAAATTATTATACCCATTTATTTACTTTTCCGGAATTTCTGTATTTATTTTCCGGAAATTCTTATATTTACCTTTCCGGAAATATATTTTATTTACTTTTCCGGAAATTACTAAATCTACATACATATTAACTTTCCGGAATTTTAACAATTATTAAATACAAGTCTATAAGTGTAATATATTTTTATTCTCCTTATTCGACTGAGATTATCAATGATAATGAAGGTAAGAATTTAAATTAAAGTTTCCTATTAAAATAGTGCTTCACTCAAAAAAAAATTTTTAAAATTCATTTTTCTTAGAATGTTATTTTGCGAACTAAGCGACGTCTCGGCAAGCGGTTGTTTTTGGGAACAAAAATGATAAAATCAAAAATAAATTTAAAACGTCAATCATTGGACGAACGTTTAGGTATTGCTATAGCCGTAGAGAATGATGAAAATAATGGGAGGTTAATGAAAAAAAATTTTTTTTTCAAAAAAATTTTTTCTTCAAGAGTTTTATGCGTTCGAATAGAACAAGTGGAAGAAAATTCTGCTGCCCAACGCAGCGGTTTATTACCTGGAGATGCAATTATACGAATTGATGGGATAAGTGTTAATAGCTGTACACGAATTGAATGTCTGAGACTTTTTGCCGACGCCAAGCTTTTAACAGAATTGGTTATTTTGCCTGTTGAAATGTAAGAATGGGATTTTAAAAAGTTTGGGAGATTGAGGGTACAAAATTTTTTTAAACAAATTTTGCCTAATATTGATAGTAAACGGAGATGTAAGACGGAAACTGGACGATAACCGGAAGCTAAATAATAACCTTGGAAAATAAAAAAATAATTTTTTCCGGAAATGTTCATTCCTTCCGGAAAAAGTGAATAGAATATTTTCAGGAAACGTAGGTATACTACTTTCCGGAAAATTAAATACAATAATCTCCGGAAAAGTAAATAAAATATTTCCGGAAAAGTTGTTATAATAAATTCCGGAAAATTAAAAATAATTTTTTCCGGAAATGTTCTTTCCGGAATTTTTATTTTATTTCCGGAATTTATATATTCTTTCCGGAAATATTTAATAATACTTTCCGGAAAATTAAAAATAATATTTTCCGGAAAGTTTTATTCATTCCGGAATTTATGTATATACTATTTTAATGACTTCTGAATTATATTAACGTTAATTCCGGAAATATCTTTCCGGAAACATTTATAATTAATAAATTATTAATTTTAATAAATAGAATGGAAGCGATCGAGAAACTTGGAGGTGCGAACGAAGATGGAATTTATAAAAATATGCAAAACAATATAAATATGAAAAAGCCAGCACGAGGTAATTAAATACTTTCAAAAAATTTTTAAAATATGAGAAAAATTTTTAAAAAATAATTTTATTTCCTCAACACTATTTTCAGACGTTCTAAATATTTTTATAGTGTTTTTTTTAGTTTACACAATTTTTATGACCAAATAAAAGATTTATAAACGTTCATTTTCTGAATCATTGCCAATGCTCGATTTCTTCATTTTATTTTTATTTTATTATTTTTTTTTAAATAATTTTGGTTGAATTTTAATTTTATTTTCTGATCCTTTTATTAATTCCGATAAATTTTTTCGGCCAATTAATTTTCTAAAATGCTTCGAATACCTTAGTAAGAGCGAGGTAAAAGTTTAATACCAGACAGGCTTCGATCCTGCGACCTCCTGGCAGTTATTGCTAGGTCCTTTCGCTCATCACGTACAGGTGCTCTACCAACTGAGCTACTGGGACGCCTTTTACCTTCTTTTAATAGATCTTAAACCCCCGCTTAGATCTCTTAAACCCCGCCTAAATGCTACCAGCTGGATCTTTCTCTTCCTTACACCTCGGAGCTAATTAATTCACTCTTTAAAAACCCCCCTAAAATCTATTTAATTTTCAAAGAGTTAACTCTTGACTCATACATTTTTAACCATCAATTTTTAACCTCTCCCTCCAATTTTTTTAATCGAAAATTCTTCTTCCTCCCTTCAATTTTTCTAATATTTTATTTCTTTAAATTCAAGTTTTCTTTTCCCCGATTAATTCTTTTATTAATCGGAATTTTATTTTCGCCATTTATTCTCACATTTCTCTCAAAGCCTTCACACAATAATTTTGCAAAATTAATTAAATAATTTTTTTTCTGGGTTGTTCTGGAGGAATATATAAAACTTTAATTATATCATGCAACCTTAATTTATATTATATTTTCCGGAAAATAACTTTTCCGGAAAAATATATTACCTATAGTATTATTATCTGATATTAGTTTTCCGGAAGAATGTAGTTTAATAAATATTATTTTCCGGAAAAAATATTATTTTCCGGTTAATAAATATTCATTCCGGAAACAGTTTTCCTGCATAATTCCTGAATTCTAATATTTATTTTATAAGAATATTTAAACTTTTCCGGAAACTTTTTTTATATCTCTAACTGATACATATAAAGTTTTCCGGAAGTATATGTATGTATAGTAACTACTATGTATATGCTTCCGGAAATTATTTTTATTTGTTTCCGGAAATAATATACATACAATGTATTCCTGAATTATAATATTAGTTTCCGAAAATACTTTCCAGAAGAATTATTGCTCTTAATTTCCGGAAACTACATATAATAGATAATTCCAAATATAAAATCCATTTTAATCTCCAATTTAAAAATCATCTTTAATTTTGTTTATTTTTTATTAATTCTCATTTTATCTCCCCAATAGTAATTATTTTTTAAAAGTCGCGCAGAGCATTTCCACTACTAAATAAATCGATTTATTTGCTTACTTTGTCCCTTCTCATTGTTCTCCTTTACAAACCTAACAAAATAATAGTCATCAATGGTCACTTGGCCCTTCGCGCCACACTTTATTATTTCTTTTTTTACCCCATTCTTTCCCTCCTTTTTTGCCTTTCCGGCCATATTTTCTTAGCTTTTGTCATTATTTTTGGCTTGGATCAAAAATCAATAAGAGAAAAAATGCCACCCTTGTTAATGTGGCCATATTTTTGCCTTAAATTTATTAAAAGAAGATTTTTCCGGAAAAGTTTATTCGTTCCGGAAACAAGTATTTTTGAGTTATACCTACCTATTTATTTTCCGGAAATATATAAACTTTTCCGGAAATAATAATATTATATTTCCGGAAGCATATTATTTTCCGGAAAATACGTTTTCTTGAATTATATTTTTTCCGGAAAAAAGTATATATACATATTTCCGGAAAATAAATATGTATAACTCAAAAATACATACCGTATTTGCTCTATTAATCCCCCAGTCCTTTATTAATCCCCCAGGCTCTATTAATCCCCCACCCTAGAGATGGGTTGAAACAATAATCCTCCTCTTTCTACCTACTCTAATAATTCCCCAGTCTCTATTAATTCCCCACCCTAGAGATGGGTTGAAACAATAATCCCCCTGGGGAATTACCAGAGTAAATACGGTATGTATATTGTCATAAGTCTATTGGAAATAATTTTTCCGGAAAGTAGAAAATTATAACTATTAATATTAAAACAGGAAATTCTCGAATGGATCGTTCACACCGCCAAGAATCATTTCAACAACAACAACAATCATCTTCTTCATCCTCTTTCTCATCAACAAATTTGTTGACCTCTTCAATTACCCCATCACTCATTTTTAATGAAGACGAAGATAATAATAATAATAATTCCACAGAACAACAACAACCACCGGTTGCACGGGAAAGGAAAAGTAAAAGATTTCAAGCTGGTTCTTCTACTTGTTCTATTTCTTTTTATTCTTCCTTTTCTTATGAAGATGATGGAATTGATGAGAAACGGATTCAGAATTGTGGTAATTAGTAGTTTTTAATAAATTATTTTCCGTAAACTATATTATTTTCCGGAAAATAGAAATAATAATTATTTTCCGGAACACTATATTTCCGGAAACTTTATTATTTTCCGGAAATTTCATTAAATTATTTTTCCGGAAACTATATTATTTCCGGAAACTTTATTATTTTTCTGGAAAATAGAAATAATTATTTTCCGGAAACTATATTATTTTTCCGGAACACTATATTATTTTTCCGGAAAATAGAAATAATTATTTTTCCGGAAACAATATTGTTTTCAGGAAAATAGAAATAATAATAATTTTCCGGAACACTATTTTTCCGGAAACTTTATTACACTCTCTCCCTTCTTTATTTCTCTGAGTTTCTAATACATATCCGGAAAAGTGATGTACCAATAATTGCCTTGTTAAGGTTAATTTATGGGCTTCTAACCGGATTAACTTGAACGATTATCATTTAAATATTTCCCTGGAAATATATAAATATTTTAAATATTCAGAAAGATCAGACGTTTTGAGAGAAAGCCAAGTCGGGCGGCGACCTTTTAATGTCGATTCGGCTGTCAATAATACCACCACTGAAGCAATTAATAGTGGAGGAAAGGGACGTCAACTAGAGCAATTTCGTAGCGGTCAAAGAGGAAGGGAAGGGGAAAAAGAAGAAATTGTGAAAGAGTCAACTAGCAATTTTAAAAGCAATGAGGGAGATTTTGACGATGAGCAGCAACAATTTCCCATCGGGGGAAGAGGAGGAGGAGGGGAGCTTTGGAGTGACAGGTAGTCTTTTTTAGATAAAAGAAAATTTGAATTTTTATATATACGCGTTTTGGATTAACCTAAAAAAATTTTTTTTTGAAAAAGTATAATGGGGAAAATATATTTAAAATCCAGTCCAGAAACCAGACGCCAAAAAAAAAGTTTGTGATGAGCGCCATAAAATTTAAATTTTCCCAAGAATTTTTTTTCTGATTTTCTTTGATTTTTCTTTCATTGTTAAGGATTATCTGACTGTATTTTTACAATAAAATTTTTTTTATTGAGGGGAATATTCATATAACGCCTAAAAAAGTTAAAAGTGTAGCTGTATTACGAAGGTCAAATTTTTAAGGAAGAAAAAAAAAGTTGATGAGTTAAAAGAGAAGAATATCCTCGCACAGCCAGGCACACACACAGAAAGTTTTTTCAAACATTAATAAAGCCAACAACAACAATAAAAAAAGTTTTGCAACTCAGGGGGGAGTAAGGGGAAAATTGTTGGTGATGTGCGCTGTGACATTAAAAAAACTTTATTTTTTTTTGCATTTTTGGGGCAAAAAATAAAAAAAATTTTCCTTTCTCTGCCTTGAATTAAAAAATTTTTTATTAATTTCTTTGAGTATTTTTCTTCATAGTTCCCTCATATTTCCCTCAAAATTACTCTTTGGCGTTTTGACGTTTTTTTTGCGCACACCTCCTTCCTGCGCAAAAATTGTCCTTCCAAACCCCAAATTCTTTTAGCATTAAAAAACCTTTTTTTTTTGTCTGGGAAGAATGTAATAGAGGGAAGGAAGAATTAGAGAAAAATAGCAAAAATGTATATATTATATTTCATTAAAAACACACACAAAAATAGCCAATTTATATAAAATTTTTTTGCATTAGACGGAGGGAGAAGAACGCCACGCGTTTTTGGTTTTGTGTTGTTTTTAGTGCGTTTTAAACAGCTTTTTTTTTCTTTCTTTTGTTGTTATCGACTGTCAAAATCAGCAAAAGAATTTTTCCCAACGTGTATTAAAAGTGGATATTTCTAATTAAATGTATTCTCTTTTTTCCTCTTTTTTTCTTCCAAAAGAGTTGCGCAATCGGGAAAACGAAGCGCGACTGAAAACGTTTCTTAGAATAAAAAAAACTTGATCAAAACCAAAACAACTATGTATAACACTCAAACTTTTAATGAAAAGAGGGAAGATGGGGGAAGAAGAATTCTTTTAAGGGACAAGCATTTTTGGAGACGCTGAAAAATTTTCTAAAATTTTTTTTCAGAAATTTTTTTTCTGAAACTTCTCAGGCATTCAATCATTAGTTAACCAGACTAGAACACGGATACTGATTTTGGTATTGTTACGACCCGAGGTGTGTCCGAGATTTAACTAATGTTGAGAGAGATCAGTGACTAGCCCCACTAGTATGATCCCAATAGAGTGACGATTTCACTGGCTTTTATAGTAAACTCTTTAAGGGCTGACGCCCATACACAACAGGTATCCGTATCCGGATATTTACGGCAGATACAGATGGATATCCTCAGGCATTTCTACAATATCTGTATCCATATCCATGTCCATATCCATGTCCTAGTCTGTAGTTAACTCGTTAGTTAACCCCCCAAAAGTGCTTTAGAAACATTGTATTCCTTTAAATTTCCTCGTCATCATTTTGTCCTTCAACTCATATTGCCTTATTTTTTTATTCTCTCATCTTCCTCATCGCCCTTATTATTTTCCTCTTCCATTGAAGAAAGTACACACATTCTTTTAATAAATAAAAACAACACCAACAAAAACCACCCATTTACATTCAAAAATTATTTTTATGTTAATCATTAAATAAGACAACCAACAGATTGTTTTGTTGAAAAGGCTGTAATTATATGTATATATTAATTGTAAATTATATTGTAATAATTATTTTATTTGTTGTATTAATTGTAAATTAATACAATAACATTTAATAGAAACAAGTTTGTGTTTTTGTATTTTTTGTGTGTTTTGTATTTTATTTTGTATTTTTTTTGTGTTTTCTGAATGTTTTTATAATTGAATGTTTTTAAAACACAAAATTTTCAAATGTTTTAGTAAACAAAGTTTTTAAACACAAAAAAACACAAAAACACAAACATGTTTTAAAACATAAACTAATGTTTTTATTAATGTGTTTTACATATAAAAACACCAGTATTTTTAAGAAAATGTTTTACAAACATTAATGTTTTTGTGAAAAGTTTTACAAACATTCCAAATGTTCACAAATGTTTTTAGAGATAATAGTAATGTTTTACAAACATTTTACAAACATAGTGGTTTTAGGATGTTTTACGAACAAAAATGTTTTAAGAAAATGCTTTAAAACCTATGTTTTTGTGAAATGTTTTACAAACACACATGTTTTAATTGTACCCCAAACATTCTTTTAAATTGTATTTTTATTTTATGTTTAGTTGGCGTTTTGTTCAATATTTTTAAAAAATGACATTTTATCCCAACTTTAATTTTATTTTCAATTTTTTCGAATTTCTTAAAATTTTCTTCACTAGATTTAATTAAATTTAAAATTTTTCATTTTTTAGCTCAACAACAATTCATTGTCTTTCCTATCAACCTCAACAAGGTTGTTGTAGTGACAATATTATTAACAGTGACAGCAACGCATCTACACAAATATTCCACGTTAGCAAACCCCTTTATTTTTTTTATTCAATAAATCGAATATTTTAGGGGGGAATATTTTTTGTTTTATTTAATAATAAAATTTTTTTTTTCCAGCAAAAAACAATAATAAATCAAATGTCCCAGCCAAATAATAGCAGCAATATTTCTTCTGACGACACAAAACCTGCAACGCTTTCTTCAACAAATTTTTCTTCACGTGAACAACAACAAAATAATAATAAATTGTAATTTTAATTTAAATGGCTCTATTCCTGTTTATGAGTCCAATAAAAAATAATTGGATTTTTTGGTGTTGCAAAGTCAGGAAAAATCCAAAACATTTCTTCATGTTCATGACTCACGCCCACAGGGTCTGGGACCATTCCTTGGCAATCCCGGAGAATAGGGGTTTCTTCGAAAAAAAAGTTTAAAAATAGGAAAAAGGATTTTTCTAGGGTAAAAAAATGTGCTGATTACGAATATGAGCTCGGATTTTGAAAAAGTCGTACCCGGACCCGAATATAGGTCCTACAAAATCGAAAAACCATAGGGGGGACCAAGCTGATTCTGGGGTGAAAAATTCGAATATGCAAATAATAGCTCATTCGAAAGAGCTCGACGAGCTGAGTCGAATGACACCAAAATCACCGTGATTGAAAAAGATCTTGCGAAGTTATGACACAAAAAACAAACAACGTAAACCTATGTTTTTTGTGTTGTAACTTTGTCAGTTCTTGTTCATTCACGGTGATTTTGGTGTCATTCGACTCAGCTTTCGAATGAGCTATTATTTGACCAATTTGCGCTCTGTGAAATTTTCCCCAAAATGTCGAATGTCCGAATTCGGGTTCGGATTCGACATTTTCAAAATCCGAGCTCGGATTCGTAATCAGCACATTTTTTTACCCTAGAAAAATCCTTTTTCTTATTTTTAAACTTTTTATTCGAAGAAACCCCTATTCTCCGGGATTGCCCATTCCTTACCCTATTCCTCGAAATTTTGGAAAGTTCCGAAATGAGGAAATGCTTTGAAGCCAATTTTAAAAATTTCAGAAAACTTTCTGAAATTTTAACTTTCTGAAATTTTGAGGGATAGGGTAAAAAACGGTCTCAAACCCAGTGGGCGTAGGTACCGAACCTGAAGAGATGCTTTGGAACCATGCCTAACTTATCAATACCAAGAAAAATCCATTTTTCTTTTTATTGGACGCATAGACTTTCATTGGACGCATAAAAGTCGATTGGACGCATAAACTGGATAAGAGCCGAAAAATCCAATTATTTTTTGATTGGACTCATAAACTAGAATAGAGCCCTTTAAATCGCCAATTTATCCAAAAATAATTTTTCTCTAGCATTTCTACTCGTCAACCACCACAGCCTAAAAACAGAAGAAGGGCTAGCCATTTTGCAACAACTTCAAGTTCATTTAATGAATCAAGGGAGAGAAACATTAGCGAGGAACAAAAACAATTATTTATTTTGCAACAAGAACAAAAACAACAAAACTTGGAAAATAGTCAACGAAGAAATACAACATCGAACTTGGCTATTCCTACAAAAACAACAACAAAGGAGCGTGTTGGGGTGCTGATTAAACAGGTTGAATAAATTGAACTTTTTTTGTTATTTTCGTATTGTCTGTCTCAACATCCGCAAATGTTTGTCCGCAAAATTTTTTGCCTTCTCCTTCTCTCATAATTATATAAAAAATGGTCACGAAATTTTTCTTCAAAAATTTTTCAAAAAACTTTTCAGAAAATGTTCAAAAAAAATTCAAAAAAATTTTTGTCAGGGAAATTTTTTTCAAAAATTTTTCAAAAAATTTTTTCAGAATATTTTCAAAAAAATCCAAAAAAATTTCTGTCAGGAAAATCAAAGGTTATACTCTATAAAAATACAAAAACGTGAATGTAGCATTATTTCAGAAATAGATTGTCGGCCGAAACAAAAACCGAAGATTTTCGGTTGGGATTTGCGGATGTCGGGACTGGCCCGACTTAATGATGTTTCATAATATTATATTTTTAATATTTTTTAACAAAATTCCAATTTCTATTTTTATTATTATTTCATAATCTTTCCGATGATTCTTTTCATGTTTCTTCCCAAATAATTCATATTTTTGATATTCCAACTTAATCATACTTTTAAAACAATTCTTGTTTTCACCCTTCTTTAAAAGCAAATTCTAATGCCCCAAAAATATCTTTTTCCTCTTCACTTTTAATTTTAAGAATAAAAATCTTCCCCCAAAAAAATTATTAAAACTTTTAAACTTTGAGAATAAATATTAAAATTTTACGTCTTTTCGAATTTATTTTAAGTCGAAATTTATTAATTTCGACAATTGGTGCCGCTAAATCGAACCTGC